GATGGTCAGACTTTACTTCGTACACTGACCATTGGGAGGATCGGCGAAGGCCAACAACTTGATCGTAACGATGGAGAAGCACCTGTAGTGCCTGGTGGAAGCGTTCCGTAGGAATAGACGTGAAGAAGCCGGACAGGTCTTGAGACACCAGGTGGATGTATTCGTCGGGATCAGCCTTTGACAGTGACTCCCACAGCTGCTGGACAAGTTCTTGTACTGAAAGTTGTCCTGCAATGTCGGGAAAAGTAACTTTGGTAAGTTCAAATATGAGGGCGCCGAAGACCGTGAGGAAAGGAGCTGCCCACGTGCGAAAGAATGAAATGATGGGTCGTGCTTTCTGCCAGTCCTTGGTCGGCTTTGGAAGGATGCGAGCTGTGGGCAATGGTGCTTGAAGTCGAAGTCCCCATGCATATCGTTGAAGTAGGAGGGAAGGTACCGTAGTGACCACTTCAGAGCGAAAAGATGCTGCGGATTCACGACATAGCGAAAAGACATCTCCCGAGCAAAAGGTCTACGCATCAGTATGGCAAACAATGAAGGGCAAATCACATGTGCACGAGAAGGGAAATGATCCGCGGGAATTACAACCCACGAGGACAGTGAAGCCACGGTGCGCTGCAGTGATGTCGATGACCAATAAGCACGATCTTGAAGGTTGGATCGATGGGTGTCCATCAATTGAGTCAAAACCGGCTGTAGGTCAGCAAGAAGACTGGAACCATGTACATGCCACCGACGAGCTAGTTTGCGAAGTTGCGTAGTGAAACGCTGATGCAACAAGTCAACATCACCGAAATACTGATCCTTCATAGACGCGGCCATGATCTCCATGTCAATGTCCGCATTGATGCGTGAGAACTCATCTACCATTACAGCATGTTCATGTGCACGGTGTAGGTGGTGATCATCAATGTCCAAACAGCGACACGGAAAAGATGTTTCAGGAGTCCATCTGCGTTGCCATGTGCGGTAGTTGTAGATCCTGTCGCCCAACGTGGCGCTGCGGGTTTCCACCACTCGGATCTTTGGAAGGAATAGGGAGGGAAACAAGTCACGATGAGAAGCAATCCAGCTTTGTAACCATGTGCCAAGTTGAGCTTTCCAATTCCGGACATGTAGAGGCGGTAGAAGTAGTTGTGTCAAAGTGCTGGGTGACTGTAGCTGTCGTTTGCGCAACACCTGGGCGAGGAGTTTCTGCGCCTTGGAGCGAAGGGCTCGTTGACAAAGACAGAGAGTCGCAGAAAGTAGTAAAGCTGAGTGGGAGGAAAAGCCGCCGACAGTAGGTCACGCATGGCTTGGAACGATGCGCCTGTATTGGATCCCAGCTGATAGAGAATCGAGTAATGTGCTTGAATGTCATCCAACATGTCGGGTCGTAATTGCCGTTGAAGATCCGGATGTAGTCGTTGTCGAAAGCGTTTGTGTAAACCGAGGGAGGTGGGAGACGACAACGAATGACGTCGAAAATCAACGAGATGCTCACGGAAGCCCACCTTTCGTAGAAGTCTATGTACCCAGGGCGCATTCAAATGCGGACGTAGCAGGTATTGCCATTTGCTTTCTTGGACCCAAACCGAGGAAACGGGAAGTTTAATCTCAACCGGAACTGCACAGAAAAGCCAGTAAGTATTGGAGCGCTTCCAGTAGTGAAGCGCGGGTTCGAAGAAGGCATGACGTCCCCGGAGTAGTTGTAGAAATTTGCGACTGCGTGAGTGTTCACGTCGTAGAACGTCCTGATCAGTCGCACCAACGTAGTAAGGCGTGTGCCATGGAGAAAGTCGGATGTAGACGCACGGTTGTTGGTGATGACCTGGATCGTGAATGAAGTCATAGAGGTCCGGAAACCGTGTCCGCAATGAGCGAAGATGTCTCGTGTCTGCAAAAGTGGAGTGCATAATTTCACACAAGAGAGATGCCTTGTAGAAGTGAAGAACTTCAAAGAACGGTGGGAAGTAGCCGTGATCTTGAGAAATGAGACGTTGCAAGAAACTGATCAATAAATAGGCGGTGCACCGACATCTGTGAAGCTCATACCTGTTGGCCACAGTGTGTTGAGAATGCGACATAGCGTGATTCGGAATCTGAAGGGCAATCCGGACCACAACTAATACCTCCAGAATGAGGCCCAACCACGGTAGTTGCGTGATTGATTCGTACTCATCGGCTGGTATCGACGGTGGTGGTAGTCCAGGGAAGCAGTATTGCCAGCACGTAGAGAACATGGTCAACGAGTGTAGAAAGTTGTCCAGAGACTGCCATTGTGCAACATCATCATAGATTCCACAGCGGCGAAGCTCAGCCAACATGGTTAACATGCAACCAATGAAATCTACCGTGAGGCGGCGACATGAATACAAGCTGCACAGAATATCACGCACAAGACAATGCAAGCACAGTCAAGCACAAGATCAAACTAATGCAAACCAAGAAGATGACGAACGAGTTTTAAACCTCGACTCATCCGTGACACGGCTGCCGCTCCGGGCTCATAAGTGAACGAAGTTCGTCAAGGTGCCTGCTCATCCGCTGAGTAAGCGAGCGGTCACGATGAGGTGACTCAGCGCCTTCTCAGTGAGCTTGGTGAGATAGCCGGGCTCCAGTCCCCACGAAGCCGCCATCGCCCCGAGAGTGGGTGCGCCGCCTTTTGGCATGCGTTGACGCGCCTGAAGGAGCTGCGTCGCCATGGAATCCAATGACTTGTTGCCGTTGAGCCGGGACGGGTGATTGGCCCACTTGACCAGTGACGTCAAAGTTGTGGTTGTGGGCGATTGCTTGAGATACAAGCGTGGCTGGTCACTGGTCCATGTGTAGTACTTGACAACTTCTTCCGGCGTGCTGTGCATGGTGAGCAATTGAGAGGCCGCCGGCTTGGACGGTGGTGAAGAAACTCCGTGAAGAGACTGAATGATCCGGGGCTGCGCCGCGCTATCAAACGACTTGCCATCAAGGGCCGCTGCGCTGGCCGTAGGGAGGGAGCTGGCAGGCGACGAGGATTGTGTGTGGTTGACCGGTGGTGGTGTAACCAACTCTGCATCATCTTTCTGGCTTGCCACCGTGGGGGAAGTCGAAGCGCGAAGCGATGCTGAATACTGAGCCTGGAGCAGTTCATGAGCACGATTTAGATCATTGTACTTCTTGACCATGTCATCTGTCTGGGTGGGAGGCGTGAGAGATGCGTGGTGTTGTTGAAGAAATTGAAGTACCAAGTTGGCCAAATGGTCATGAACCTTGATCCGCTGATTGAAGTCATCGAGGTTGAGTCCCAGCGAATTGGCAAGGTCCTTTTCCAGGGTGAGCAGGTTGATCGACTGCGATCGTCGTAGTAGTTTGGAACAGGCACTCCAAAGCAAGGCCTCAGTGCAAGTGCGAAAGCCTTCCCACGTCACGAATCTGCCGTGAGCGAACGGTCGGAGCAGCCAGTTGGTGAGGCCCCCATGAATAACCTGAATCAGGCGAACGTCACGAATGTCCATGCCTGACATGTCGCGTTGGTTGCTAGGCGGAGCGTTGGCAACCGTCATGGGCAGGCTGAAGTTGTAGAGCTGATTGACATCTAACATGCCATCTCCAGGTGTCCAGTCAGGTGATGGTGTAAGCCAGGCTTTCTGAGGACGAACCGGTAGAGCAGCAGGAGGTCCAGGTGGCGGTATAGGTTGCGAGGTAGTGACCGGTGGTGACATCACGGACGGCATGAACTTCGTTGGCGTGGGCTCTGGAGGAATCGGCATCATGTAGTTGATCGATGGATGTTGGAACTGCTGCGTGGGACTAGGGATCGATTGAAAATTGGTGGGCATCATCGGGAAATTGTTGGCGGAGTTGTAGCCAGAATTGTGTTGCCAAGATACCAGGTTGTTCCAATCCATGCCCTCCGAGACGTGGTGGTCATTGTGTTCACGTCGGTGTGCTTTACGAGCTTGAGGAGAAGTACTCCGGTCGCGTCTGCGCCGAGTCCTGGATCTATCACGATCATCACGTCGAGACATGGTGACGCAACCGACTCTGAATCTTCACACTTCCACCTTGAGAGAAACGAATCCGACAACATGCAAATCAATGCAAATGCAAGTCATCGGCCCCCAGCTGCGATGGTTGATGAAATGGATCCGACAAAAGGTAAGTCGATGCAAGTTGATGTCAGCGCCCATCATCAGCATTGGTGCAAGAAATGAATCTGACAAATGAAAGGCAATGCACGGTCAAGTCAGCAGCAATCAACCGCGTGGTGAGAGCAACAAATCCAACAAATGGAAAGCGAATGCAATGCAACTAAGCAGCCGTCTGCAGCTATAGTGAATCCGACAATTACAAGACAATGCAAATGCAAGTCAGCAATCTTCAACCGCTATGATACGAGCAACAAGTTCAACCAATGGTAAGCCAATGCAATGAAAGTCGGCAGCCAGCAGCTGTGGTGAGACGTCACTATGGTCTGATCGCTGTCTTCCCTTTAGTGAAACCTCGTTCCTGGTTAAATGTGAAATTCCGCTGTTCTATGATAAGCACGTTGAGGTCAAATTTTCCGACAGAGCCGGCCCGGGGTCACACAATGGGTACACCCGAGGATTCCCCACGAATGGGGTGTACACACTTGAACTCCAGATGGAGAGTGTTAATCTTTCGAGTACAACTGATGAGTCTCGAGTACAACTGGTGAGTCTCGAGTACAACTGATGAGTCTCGAGTGGGTTCGGCTTGCAGTCACTTGGCTTCCGTCTAGCAGCGAACACGTTACCCGAAAGAACAAGAAGCACAAACAGCGCCGCAACCAAGGGGGCCAAAAAGGACTTTCAGAATCACTTGCAGGTACAGGAGTTTGCGTCCAAACTCCCTTCCGGCTCATTCTCACAGCTTCGTTGGCACGGCTAGAGAATGAGCTGCCGTGCCCCCTGCCTCCGAAAACGGCCCAAGGTGGTGACAGGGTATTCTGTCACTCCGCACACACACACACACACACACAAGCGCGCGCACGCGCGCGCGCTCTTCTGCACCCAAGGCTCACATGTGGGCCGCAGTCTGCGGGCCCATCTCATTCCGCCACAAGATGGCCGCGCGGGAGATGTCCCTGACATCGAGACGACGGCCCAGGGCGTGGTCCGACGAATCGGCTGGCCTGAGATCTTCCTTTTTGGGCTGGCTTCCTTCAGGCAGAAAAGAAAAAAAAACAACTCAGACTCAAATCGACCCAAGTCACACACAAACTCGCTCTGGGCGTTATGATGCATTCCAGCTGCCAACAGTGTTGACACCCCTGTCTGATCCAACACTAACGCGCCCCCATGTAGGGCTGCTTTTGGAAAGAGAGTTCCTGTGTTCTAGGCCCATTTGGAGTTAATCCCTTTTCTTTCTTTTTTGCTAAAGCTGTGGGGCCGTTCGCACAAGTTCACGAGTTGCTTCGACTTTTGCCGGCCCAAACTTAGACACATTGAAAATGCCAATTAACATTCGAAAAACCCATTCGGCCTGCGGGTAGAAACGGATCGATCCCACTTCGCTGCTTGAAACCTGAGCGGCCCTAGGACCCAAAAGGACCCATTTGGAACACTCCCATTCGCAGCGCAAAACCGGCATTTGGACCTTTGTTTGAGGCCTGAAGAAACTCGTCGCTCCGTTTCCGCTGGCCTCCCCACGTCCAGAATGCGCTGCCAGATCTGGCGGCCCTCCCAGAAGCGCGAGTAGGCCTCGCAAGCGAACCGGCGGGGCCGGGCCGGCAGCTCCGGGCCCTGGACTTCTGGCCCCAACTTGCCCTCTGCGCTCCGTTGGGATTTTTGGTGACACCGGTTCTTGGCAAGCGCTGCTGTTCTGGGACGGAGTGGCTCTGAAGGCAGTGCCCAAGTGTCATGACGCTGTTCTGGCCAAGTGCATGCGCCTTCGCTCATCCCTTTGGACAGGCCAAAAGATTCGAGGCGCCAAAAAGATCTCGATCTCTTATTAATTCGAGCAGGTGTCAACTGTTCAATCAACCATTACCGTTTTACTCACACCGCCCTGTCTCTTGCAAACCACATGGGAGGGGCAGAAACTTCGACCACTCCCTCAATTGTCTCGGGCGAAAAGTTGCATGAAAGGTGGCAGTAAGGGAGACCTCAATTTATCTGAAATGACATCAACTATACTAAAGTAGCAAAGCCCGCCACATGCCCGAGAAGATGCCATGTGAGTTGACTGAATCCCCACAGGCATTGGTACAAACAGGAGAGCAAGGCCGACTTGAGCCCTCCTGAGCTTCTTCTCTCCCAAAGCGGGGAAGGTCATGACTGTTGCTTTGCCAGGATGCTCACAACGATTGGCCACATCCCAGGTTTCACAAGTTGGCGAGCATCCCTCATCACAAACCGCCAGGTTGCGCCAAAGTAGTGTATAATAGTATAGATGATCTTAAAGCACCGAAGGAGAACGATCCTATGAAAAATGTTGTCCAAGCTTTGGACAACTTGGCACAAAGAATCCTGACTCCAAAACCTCGGCCATGGGACATCCACATGGTCCGCTTCCAAGGAGCTCGGAGTCGAACCGTCCCAACCTCCCGCAACCCATCCACCCCACCCACCCCACCAACCCAACCCCCCGCAACGCCCCGCCCCCCCCATCAAACCGACCAAAAAACAAAAACGAGGCGCGGTGTTGGTCCGGAAGACCAGCAGAAGCCCCAGCGCTGAGACCAGCAGCGCATGGCCAGTGGTGCTGCCGTGCCAGAACTTGCCCTGACGCCGATCCCGCGATCCCCGCGATCCAAGGCGCTGGTCAGTTGACTGCAGAAAACCCGAGGCGCCACGACAGGGGAGGAAATGAAAAATGGATTCAACGAATCCACGCACTGCGCAAAAAGGGTGTCTGTATGTGCATGCTTGGAATCGCGGCCACTTCTCCGGCAAAGGATGGACAAGTGTCAAAACTGGGATGTCTACCTTTTTGAGCAGAATCTCGAAGCAATCTGACATGACCAACCCTCCTGGCAAGGTTAATTGTCTTTATCCTCTTGCCATCGACTCGTCACATCGCAGGCGAGTGTGTGTCTGGTTGCGGCGTGAAGTGTGTTCATCAACGTGGGGTTATGTTCACAGGTGCTAGTCAGATCACAACTTCTTTGTTTGGCGGGGAGTTCCCTTGATATTTTCTCAAAGCAGCTGCAAACAAAGACCATCCCGGCACTCGCCCAAATTCTCTGCAGCTTAAAAACCCACCACCCCGGCTTCTGCCTTCACCTCTCTCTCCAAGTAGGGCGCTTTGCTTTTGCGCCCAACTTCTCTCGCAGCCGGACACCAAACCGCAGGCGGTCCGGTCCGGTCCGGTCAGATCCCCCCCGAAAACTCCCCCGCCCTCGGCAGGAAGGCGTGGAGACAGCACACCGCGCAGGCCACCGCCGTGGTGCACATCACGGGCGCCTGGATCCTCCGGTGCCAGGTGGGCCAAAACTCCAAGGCCAAAGCGGTTTGCCCCCGGGGGACCTCCGACTCAATCCGACCGCTGAAGTAGGTAACCTAAAATTTGGGTGGGCGAATTCACCTGCCCCAAAATGGGATGCCATGGGTGTTGACCCACGGCCAAGCTGGATTTCTGCTGCTTTCAGAAATGCAGAGTGTTTAGGGGCAGACCACAAGGTGCTTGGATGCTGACACCTTGCTGGGCAGGGCATCATTTGCAGGGGGACTTATGTCCACCAGCCAATTTTGAGGGCAGTTCCTGGCCAATGGCATAGCCATTCGAGCGTGAGATTGAAGCGTTCGGATTTCCTTAAATAAATAAGCAAATAAATAAGAAAAAGAGAAAATTCAAGAAAAGAGAAGGAAAAAAACCGCCAGCCCAGCTGTATACCTGACCTGGTTTGAACAAAGCGAGGTGATTGGCACGGCTGCCGTTGCGTGGACAACAGATTGGTCATCCTTCCTGCTCGTGTGTCCTTGACAATCGTTTCTACGTTGAACCTGTTTTACTGGTTGTTGAACCTGTTTTACTGGTTGCTGAACCTTCTGATTTCCTCGACACCATCAACGCCAAAGACGATTCGGCTTGCCCTCCCCCCACCCCAACTGCGCTTCGGAATTTCACCCGTCGGCTTCTCGGCCAACAATTCGCAGTGCCTATACCCGGCAGCACGTCGTCAATGCTTAATTGCTTCCCTTCTTTGAACGTCAGCGAGATCTGCGAGTACTGAGCGATATGCGGCATGTGGTACAACACCCGGCGTAAAACCAGATCGTGGACTTCGTTCAAGTCATATGATATTGCCGCTACATGAATATTCAAGAAGCACGTCATGACACAGGTTCATGCGCATGAGCTAGAAAAGCCGCACCGACCTTTCCAATCGGCAGCGGATTAGTGTGGCTTGCTCTCGAACGTCAGCGATTCATGTAGGAAAAGCCTCGAGGAAAACCAACAAAACAAGCCAACAACAAATGTCATAGGCAAGCAAAGCCTTTAAGGAAAAATCTTTCCACCTGCTTTGCTTGTTTGGTCTTTTGAGCATACACGTGTGGAAAGCCCAACAGTTGATGAGGCTTCCATCTGGACCATCTGGAAGGGGCATTTGTCTATTCATGATGCCTGTACTAAGAAAAAAGACTCCGGGAAGGCTGCAAAAAACGCGGGTCCCACTGGTAAGGAACCCCAGGGGTCGCCCCCGCCCCGCCCCCGCCCCCGCCCTTTCTCCCCCAAAAAAGAAATTCGGCCGGCCGGTCCTGCGCAGCAGGTTGGAGGTCCACAAGCCCCGCAGGTTCGCGATCCAGTCCTCAGCACACGGGCGCCTGGCTCCTTCGGTGCCAGGTGGGTCAAACTCCGAGGCCAAAGCGGTTAGCCCCCGGTGGACATCCGAATCAATCCAACCACTAAAATAGGTAACCTAAAATTTGGGTGGCGAATTCACCTGCCCCAAAATGGGATACCATTGGTTTTGACCCACAGCCATCTGGAAGGGGGTTATCTGGAAGTGGGTTATCTTATGTAGCAGGGGGGATCTGATAAGTTGTTCACGTTTCTACAGTGACAAGCTGGCAGAGGGGGTTGGCTGGAAGCTTGGCCTGAACTAGCTCCCGCATGTTCGAACCGCGCCTACAATCCTGTGAAGTTCCGAAATGTCGACTCTCGGGAGAAAGATCTCTTCGGTTTTGAACCCCTGAACATGTGACCTTGTCTTTGGGGTGGTCCCTTCAGTGTCCAGCCACAAAGCATCCCATTCTGGCATGATTCAAATGAGCTGCCAAGCTCGCTCTGCGTCCAAAGTTGGGCGATGGCTTATGAGGTTGGAAGCTTCACAAACCGCCTGCCCATCTCCATCAGGGATGCTGGAGTTAGGGTCTGCTCGAATGGTTTAGGCAGCACAACTGAAGGCCCCTACCTCTGATGGGACTCCACCGCAGGGCGCATCATGGCTACAACAATCATGTCACCACATGAAAAGTGTTGCATGCTTCGAAGGGCCCACAAAGCGCCGTTCCAAACCTGACATGAGTCGCAATCAAAACCTGGTACTCAAATGGTCTACCCAGAACCATGTACAGGATTAAGGCGGCGGCCGCAGCTATTTATGGCTGGGATCGCCCCTTACTAACCTTCATCTACCCAGGTTTTGATTGTGGCTCACATGTGGGCAAACAGGATCCAAAAACCCTTATGGAAGGAAAGCACCAGTGTTCAGACAGACAACTTTGGAAAAGCAACCTTGGTGAGAAGCTGTCTAAAGCAAGGAAGGCCACTCAGACAAAGATTCCCATTCTGGGGTCTTCGAGCCTTGACTCAAGCTTCACATTTCACCAAACATTTGGGGACTGAAGGCTTCTCCTCTCGGAATGTGTCTGCTGGCATCCGCCGGGATCCCTCACTGCGTGCATTTCACCTAAGCCTTGCAAAGGCACTTTTGCGAGGACACGGATTGCAATAAAGCGGCTCTGAGGGCGAAGGGCGTACTCAAAAGCAACGTCCACCGCTGAAATCTGAGATCCCAAGGCCTTCCCCTCCGCAGACAAAGGGCGACCGACGTGTATCGCCTTGCTCGTGGCAGGCTCTTCTTGTCCTCGGCTCCGGCCCCCGCCCAAAATGCCTACGAGGTTGCCGATATCTCCCAAGCTCTGTATCCATGCTCTTTCCCATGTGCTGAAATTGTACAATATGCGTATGCATACTATGGCTTCCTTCACAACTGCCCAGTCAAATGCAGAAGGCATCCTACGGCCCGAATCTGAAGGCAAGTCTCCGACTTCTTCTCGGATCTCTTCTCCGACTTCGTCTCCTTCTCGGCCTCAGGGAAAGATTCTCTGGCAAGCCGCTGCCTCTGGATTAGGGGAGGTCTTGCTGAAAAGATCACGTGTCCGGCAAGTCCAAAGGCAGAACACGGAAGGCCAAGACTCCCAACAGGATCTCTAGGATAAGTGTATAGCTTGTGCAAACACGGGATGCCGCAGCCGACGCAAAGAAACCGCATGAGATCAGAGTCTTGTCTACAATTTCCACTGTGCGTTGACAAAAGCGCCAAAGTTTCCCTCATCTCATGCCAAGTGCCAGTGCGGTGCTCACCATCCCACAGATCTGTGGCCTTGAGCCCATGTGATACGAAACTGGAGACCTCCACCCCTCTCATCGGACTCCGCCCTGGCCTTCTCCGCAGCGCGCCGGACGCCTGCGGTTCCGGGGGGCCTTTCTGCGGCGAATTCATGTGGAGCTCAATGAAAGATTCAGGATGCATCCAGCATCCACCCATCGCAAATCAAGTCAAGGTTGGGCGCTCTCAGAGCTTGCATCCTTTGGATAACAATTGGAAATGCATCAAGACCCAAGGCAGCTTGTCCAAAGGCAAGGAGCGTTTTGAAGGAATCAACACCTAATGTATCGGAAGCGCTCAACCCAAATGGAACGAGAAACAACTGATATACCAACAAACTCCACCACGTCAATCAATCTCATGCAAAACCGATCATCAATGCTAGTCGCCGAATCAGTCCCCAACAATCAATGAATCCAGCCAAATCTGATTCACTCAACTCAACCATGCTTCAACCCGCCAACGCGCACAATCTACAGAAAAAATCGACACGGCGACAATGTAAAACTGACTACTCTGTCAGTCGTCAGGCTTCTCAAGGGCCACAGTTACCAACAGAACATATAAACAACGTTGCCCTGCCCACATCTGTCAGCATTCCCATACTGGCAGCCGCGAATGCTTGGCAGCTGTCTTCCGCTAAAACGAATGTAGCTACGTGGGCGGCTACATGGAACACATTCTTTAGAATTAGCCGCGCGGGGGCTGCGCGGTGGCTACGCGGAAGCACGCAGGATTTGTGCAGACGTCGGAAACTGTTTTCTGAAGTAGTAGCTATTATTCAACAGCAGCAGCAGCAGCAGCAGCAGGCAGCAGCAGCAGCAGGCAGCAGCAGGCAGCAGCAGCAGTAGAGGCAGCAGCAGCAGCAGTGGGAGCAGTAGTCAAACTAGTCAGGGCAAGCATAGTAGTGGCACATAGTAGCGGTCGTCGACTGGTACACGTACTAGTACTAGTGTTAGTATTGCTGCCAGTACGAGTACGACGCAGTACTGGCACCAGAAATCGGCGAGTGATAGCAGTAGCCGTAGCAATGGCAGTGGCAGTAGCAATAGCAGCATCCGTAGCAGTAACAGTAGCAGTGGCACCAGTGCTAGTACAACACTGGCAGTAGTTGTGGTAGTGGTGGTGATGGACGAAGAAATAGTAGGTCGACGCTGTTGTTGCTGTAGTAGGTGTAGCAGGAGAGCGGCAGCAGTAGCGGTAGCCGTCATTGTAGAACAAGTAGTTGCAGCGGTAGTTGTAGTACTAGCTGTTGTTGTAGATGTACAAGTAGCAGATAGTAAATACTAATGATAGCCGTAAATTCTTGACCCCCCGGGAACGCTTGGGTTGAGTGAGGCTTCTCTACAAACCAAGAAATATATAACACTCGCGCCACGCCTCTGCGGCTCTCCAGCGCCGCCGCCGCGGCGGCCGAGGCAGCGGCAAGGCCCAGCGACGGCGCCAAGGCCGGCGGCTTGGATCCCTCCCCTGCGGAGCGAGAGGCAGGGTAAAAAAACCTCACCAAATGGCAGAATGAATCTAACATATCAAGTTTCATTACTATATAAAATTAATAATGTTGAACGACCAATTGCAAGATCAACATGTGCTTTATGCATCGGTGTTCGCGCTTGAGTTACAACGTATTTGTACATCTACATATATGTACGCGTATATAAACATATACATAGAAGCAAATATGCAGACACATATTTACATCTATCGACATATATAGATATACGGATATATCCATAAATACATATATACATAAATACATACATAAGCAGAAAGGGCGGCCATCCGGGCCCCTGCTTTTTGCGGACGTAGGGGAACTCATTGTAATATGAAGGTGCGTTGCTTGGTTTGCATTCCTTTCCATGAATGGTTCTCACACAAACCTTTGATCAAACCTTTTCTTCTCCCTCAGCATCTTTAGCTCTGCACTCAGGCCTTCAAGCGGGAGGGGGGGGGGGGGAGATCCTGTCAAGGCTCCTTTTACCAAATAGGTTGTTGATTATAAAAGATGTTGACCAGAACTTGATGAAACGATCAATTGTAGGAATGTTCTATTCACAATGCGAATTTGAAGCAGAACCATCACAGTCATATTCAGAAAAACAGTTTAATCAGGATTTCAATTCTAGTAGACTAGAAGTTAAACATGATGTCCTTGTCCAAAACGATGTCGATTAAATCGAATTTAACAATGATGGAATCGCATTATGAGTTCTATGCCAAAATATAATGGAGTTGAATTAAGTTTGCAAATGGAGCATAACGCAGACTGGAATTATTCGCAATGACCTGCAGGTGAATAAAGCTCCTTGTCAAGCTCCTTATACTAGAAAGAATCCGCCGACAACAGGCGGGTTGGACATAAGAAATGCTCCTTACCTCTTTACCTGTTACCCCTCCCCCTCCCCAGGGGCAGCATTTCAGACTTTTGCGGGGGGGGGTCCACGTACCACGCAGTGATTCGAAGACGCTTCACTAAATCTGTTCATTGTGCGGGCTTGCGCAACTAACATTGGGGTGTTCGATTCCCCCCGGGTGCGCTTTCGCATCCTCAGCAGCTCCAGCGGCACATCGCCAGCATCGCCTGCATCATCCGCATCAGCGCCTGCCAAGGAATCGGATGATGCAAGTGATGCTGGGGATGTTGCCTATGCTGGTAATGAAGGGGGGAAAGGGGGGAAGGATCTCAACAGCGAAAGAAAAAAAAATCTCAGGGAGGAAAGGGAGGAAAGGGAGAAGATCTGGGGAAAAAATGCCTTAAGGGGGAAAGGGGGGGGGAAGATCTTTGGGAGGAAAAGGGAAAACTTTCTCGGGGGGAACAGGCCCTAAGGGGCAATCGGGGGACAGGATCTCAATCGGGAAAGAGAGAAAAAAACTTTGGGAAGGGTGGAGATCTTGGGGGGAAAAGGCCTTAGGGAGGAAACGGGGGCAAGGATCTTAAGCGGGAAAGGGGGGAAGAGATCTTAGGGAGGCAAAGGGAGACGAACTCAGGGAAAAGGACTTAGGGAGGAAAGGGGGGGAAAGATCTTTGGGAGGAAAAGGGAGAAGAACTGAGGGTGGGAAAAGGCCTTAGAAGGAAAAGGGGGGAAATAAATGATCTCAACAAGGAACTGGGGGGGGGGGAAAGATCTTAGGGAGGAAAGGCAGAAGATCTGGGGCAAAAAGGCCTTAGGGGGGAAAGGGGAGAAATGATCTCAACAGGGCAAGGGGTGGAAAAGATCTTCGGGAGGAAAGGGAGAAGATCTGGGGAAAAAAGGCCAACAGGGAAAGGGGGGAAAAGATCTTAGGAAGGAAAAGCGAGAAGCTCTCAGGGGGGGAAAGGCCTTGGGAGGGAAAGGGGGGAAAGGATCTCAACAGGGAAAGGGTGGGAAAGATCTTAGGGAGGAAAGGGGGGGGGAAGATCTTAGGGAGGAAAGGGAGAAGATCTGGGAGAAAAGGACTTAGGGGGGAAAGCCCAACAGGGAAAGGGGGGAAAAGATTTAGGAAGGAAAAGGGAGAAGCTCTCAGGGGGGGGAAAGGCCTTAGGGGGGAAAGGGGGAAAAGGATCTCAGCAGGGAAAGGGGGGGGGAGAAGATCTGGGAGAAAAAAGGCCAACAGGGAAAGGGGGGAAAGACCTAAGGAAGGAAAAGGGAGAAGCTCTCAGGTGGGAAAGGCCTGAGGGGGGAAAGGGTGGGAAGGATCTCAACAGGGAAAGGGGGGAAACAATCTTAGGAAGGAAAGGGAGAAGATCTGGAAAGGCCTTAAAGGGAAGGGGGCAAAGGATCTTAAGGAGGAATAGGAAGAAGATCTCAGCGGGGGGAAAGGCCGTAGGGGGGAAAGAGGGGAAAGGATCTCAACAGGGAAAGGGGGGGAAAGATCTCAGTGAAAAAGGGAGAAGGTCCCAGGCAGGGAAAAGGCCTTAGGGGGGAAAGGGGGAAAGGATCTCAACAGGGACAGGGGGCAAAGGATCTTAGGGAGGAAAAGGGAGAAGATCTGAAAAGGCCTTAGGGGGAAAAGGGGGAAAGGAGCTCAACAGGGAAAGGTGGGAGAAGATCCTAGGGAGGAAAAGGGAGAAGATCTCGGGGGAAAAGATCTTGGGGAGGACAAGGGAGAAGATCTCAGGGGGGGGAAGGCCTTAGGGGGGAAAGGGGGGAAAGGATCTCAACAGGGAAAGGGGGCAAAGGATCTTAGGGAGGAAAAGGGAGAAGATCTTGGGGGGGAAAACGCCTTAGGGGGGAAAGGGCGGGAAAGGATCTCAACAAGGAAAGGGGGGAAAAGATCTTAGGAAGGAAAAGGGGGAAGATCGCAGGGGGAAAAAAGGCCTTAGGGGGGAAAGGAGGGAAAGGATCTCAACAGGGAGAGGGGGGAAAACATCGTGGGGAGGAAAAGGGAAAAACTCAGAGGGAGAAAGGGCCTTAGGGGGGAAAGGGGGGATGGATCTCAACAGGGAAAAATGGCAAAAGATCTTAGGGAGGAAAAGGGAGAAGATCTCAGGGGGGGAAAGGCCTTAGGGGGGAAAGGGGGGAAAGGATCTGAGCAGGGAAAGGGGGGGAAAGATCTTAGGGAGGAAAGGGAGAAGATCTGGGGGAAAAAAGGCCAACAGGGACAGGGGGGAAAGATCTAAGGAAGGAGAAGCTCTCAGGGGGGGAAAGGCCTCAGGGGGAAAGGGTGGGAAGGATCTCAACAGGGAAAGGGGGGAAACAATCTTAGGAAGGAAAGGGGGGGGGAAGATCTTAGGGAGGAAAGGGAGAAGATCTGGGAGAAAAGGACTTAGGGGGGGAAGCCCAACAGGGAAAGGGGGGAAAAGATCTTAGGAAGGAACAGGGAGAAGCTCTCATGGGGGGGGGGAAAGGCCTTGGGAGGGAAAGGGGGGAAAGGATCTCAACAGGGAAAGGGTGGGAAAGATCTTAAGGAGGAAAGGGGGGGGAAGATCTTAGGGAGGAAAGGGAGACGATCTGGGAGATCTTAGGGAGGCAAAGGGAGAAGATCTCAGGGGGGAAAAGGCCTTAGGGGGGAAAGGGGGGAAAGGATCTCAACAGGGAGAGGGGTGAAAAAAGGGAAAAAAACAGAGGGAGAAAAGGCCTTAGGGCGGAAAGGGGGAATGGATCTCAACAAAGAAAGGGGGGCAAAAATATCAGAGGGGAAGGGGGCAAGGGGACAATTCCAAAGGGACGCAAATAAGAAAGCAGGCCTGTAATGTCGGCGGCCTGAGCCGGAGGCACTAAAATAAGGTAAGTGTTCTGTTCTGAATAAGGCGTCAAAAAGGTACTCCTGTCCAAATAAGTATTTGTAATTTAAGCAGAATTCATGGGGAAGGAGTTTAATCTGAATTGCTATTTGCAATCTGAATTTGAATATGACTTCCTTTCCAAATTGGCTCTCAAACTGAATTTGGAATGGACATTGAGTAGCATTTCTTGCATCTTCCAACAAACTGACCGAGACGCGCCCGCGAGGCTAAGGCAAAATGCAACGTGCCGGCCTCGGTCGGGGCCCGGGCGGGCCCACACTTTCCGCAGCGTGCACGGCTGGGCCAGCTCCGGCAGCATCGCCATCGATAAGCGGCTAGGGGGGCTCCTCGGGGAATCTGCTCTGGGCTTCGGTCCAAGAATTCGCCTCATAGATCGAGGGCCATCTGAAAAGAATGTTACACGGCCTTTCTTGAGAGCTGCGTGGGAGGGCGTGGCCAGACCAAGTAGCTGACGAAGAGTCCACCGAGAAGAATTGGGAGCGATGTCCTGATTGTTTGCCTTGTCGATGCCCTCTCAAGTCATACTTGAGCAGCGCGGAGCGAGCCGGCAAACCCGCAAAATCCCAGCTGAGTTCGGGAAGCTCTGCTCAGAGGGTGTGCCTTTTTTTTGCCCTGTCCCCCCCCCCCCCGCAAAAAAAAGAAAGGCAACAAAGGTAACTTTCCTCGTGGTTGCCCTTTACCAACCCAAAAGGGTACCCTCAAAAACAGGTTTTAGAAAAACAATGCAACCAAGTGAGTTGGGGACGGTGGGGCTACTAGCGCACGCCACTGCCCAAGGTTCAATGTATTGAGCAACACAAACCAAATATCAACCTCCCGGTGCCTCGGATCTAGAGCGGCCGAACAACAAGTGTCATAGCGTGGAGTGAGTCCTGATTGACCTCCCAATAAAAAGCACGCTGGTCATGGCCCATGCAGAGTTGCGCAGGAACTTTCAATGCCCAACCTCACATTGCATGAAGAGATGTTGCTTGGTCTCATCTGACTGATGTCCATCCACACAAGCGCTTGGAAGTCCAAAGTCGCTCTCAGGAGCCAAGCTTCAAGCAGCTGGCTGGCGTGCAGGCCCAAGTAGATTCCGCATTAGTCACCCAAGCCGCGAGTCAAAAAGAAGAACATCCGAAATGTGTCCACGTGCCTGAATGTGAGCAGGCAGCTTTCACCCGAGCGCATACCCAAACACACATCTGAAACTCATACTCCATGGGCCGCCATCCCCAACGCCCACGGCCCTCACCCCCTGACACCCTGCAGGGCCATGGGCCCCCCGCCGGAGGAGATGGCATGGACAGGGACCCGGACCCGGAGCCGGAGCCCCTGCGCCCCTGGCTTCGCGAGCTTGGCCAAGCGAGCCAAGGAGTTATGAAGTGGCTCCTCAGCGGGGCCTTCTTCTTGGTTCGTGGCTGGCAGTCTCCGGACATATCGTGCGGGTTCCAAGGGGTCGTGTGAAGAACCCCCAGCCTGTGCCTGCCAAAGGAGACGTCTTGGCCATGAAAGTGACGCTTTTGGAGGTTGCTTTGGGGGAGCTCCTGAAACATGTCGTCAATGTGAATAATGGATGTTCAGGTTGAGGACCCGGTAGGAGGCAATCACAAGGAACCGGGGCATAATGGCTTTAAGAGAAATACGAGAAAGGACATCTCTTACTGCTGGTTATGTTGCTTCTCCCAAACATCGCCATGACATTGCCATGTTGCTCATGGCCTGGCAAGCAATATTCAAACCGGCGAAGGCTCCAATTTGTGAGAGGCAGGATCGCCAATGTGCACCACAGAATGTGGCTGTGTTTGTGTACCCTGTTTCACGAAAATGATTCTGACAAGAGGGTCTGCTGAAGCGGCAGCTTGCCCCAAAAACTGTGGCCTCCCTGTTCGAGGCTGGCAAGTGGTCCAAGGAATCCCTCCAACTAGTCGGTGGCCATCGACCAGGGGACCTTTAGCCAAGGCCCACCTCCCCTGTAGATTCAACGGGACGAGATCAGTGAAGCTTGGCACTCCTTTTTCTGGGCAGTCCCGGAAAGCTTGGCGCGAAGCCGCGCCTTGACTGGCTCTGAGCCCAGAGTGGGGAACTCCTCCTGGATTCGGAGATCGGAGTCGAGTCGCGAGAGTCGCGAAACGCAGGGGAACCTCATTGTTCAGAAAAATGAACAGGATTCATCCCACTGCGTTGGGTCACGTTGAAGGGATCCCCTCTGAAAGTCTCCCTGATCCCTTCGTGCCCTCGGGCGAAAGGGTCTGAACAAATCAGGACAGCTCCATGGTGCAAAGACGACTCGTTGCTCAGAACTGCTATGAAGAACCATCAAAAGCGGCAGCTTTCGCCGCTGCAGTTCTTAAACTAGAATGCGCATGTTTTTCGGCGAGGCCCAGTCTCCTCTGCTAGCTGCACCACAAACACAAGAAGTCTGCTGAATGGATATTCCTGGTGCTATTCGAATGATCGTAGTCACAAAGCGGGCAAAGGTTGAGTGCTGCGCTGACTCAGCCAGGCAAGTTGATCGATTTCTGCTTCTTGTCAGCGGTATGACCGGTCAAAAATGTGGCGTCACGGACGAGAACATTAAAGCGTCGTGGCGTTACGGCATGTCTGTGTTTGTTTTGAGACCCGTGCTTTCCCAGGATCGCAGAATAGCGCATCGGTTCACTCAAAAGGCCGTGACTGTTCTCAAATTGCAGAAGTCGCTTGCAAAAGCTTTAATAGGAGCCCCAGGCCCCAGGTTTCAGAATCCCATGTGTGGAAATCGGAATAATAAATGATAATAAATAATAATAATAATAATAATAATAATAATAATAATAATAATAATAGAAATGTTTGGCGGCTGTGTTCTTAGACTCCCTTTACACCAACCTCAAAAAAACCGCGGGGATTCTTGCTTCGCGCCTGTCGCCGCTCCACGGGCTCAGGCACCACTTTGCCCGGGGGCGGCTGCGCCCAGGGCGCCGGCCTCGGAGATGGTCGGGAGTCGGGGGCTCAGAGATGGTCAGCGGCTTCACAGAAATGTGGCTCAAAATTTAACGATCGGAGGGGCAAACCGCAGGTTTTGGTCCATGTTTCCACAGAAATGGAGGGGCAAACCGCAGGTGTTGGCCCATGTTTCCACTTACCAGGGCAACCCATTTTGGTATTCCGGTTTTTGGAGCCACAGCCACAGGTCTCGGTGTTTCTTTTTGGGACGGGGGGGCGGCCAGAAGATGCGCGAACCTCCAGGCCGCTTAAAGACGGTGCAACCACTGTGCTTGAGTGATACGGATGCCCGGTTGGGTCCGACCCAAGAGATCGGAGCGCATCCGATCTTTTGTTGCAAGCTGCCCCTGGCAAGAGCCTTCCAACCAAGGGGGGACCCCTCCTTTTTTGGCTTGGTGTAAAGGGAAACCGAAAGGAAACATCCACCACACCCATGTTGAACATGGCCCCATCTCCTTTAGGATTCTGCATCGACAAGGCGCGCCTGGGCCCAGCCTGTGCTGTCAGGCTGGTCCTGCGACACTCGTGCACGCTGTGGGGAAGTCTAGAGGAAGACTGGAATCATTGCCCAATTGGCTTGAAAGTTGTCCTCGGGCTCCCCTACATTCCGGAATATTGTCCATGATGAAAACTCAAGGCTTTATGCTTTGTCTTCAAGTTGCTGCCAACTGTATATTGAGAAATATACCCAAAAGATACCCTCTTGCCCAACACGCTGCAATCTCTGGTTCTCCTTGCGCCAAAAGATACCGAAGGTCCCCAAAACTGCATCCCCAGGATGGACCCTTCAGCTCGGGTTGCAGGGCATTTCTCCATGCTCCTCTTCAGGCTTTCGACCCATGAACTGCCGCCTTTCTTTTATCTTTATTCGAAACCACGCAAAACCCAGGCCTTCACTCGGTTGCTAAATCTGCTCCCCAGCTGAAAGTTTAACTTTTAGTGGTTTAATGGAAAACCCATTAGCTGGCAAAAGTTAAAGTCTTCATCCAAGCAAAATGCGCCAAAGCATCACCCTTCTCCACCCTTCTCCAACCGCTTTGTGGCTGCGCCTCCCCCAGGCGGTGGGCCGGAGCTGCGAGGGCTGAGACGTGAGGGTCTTCAGGTGTGGGTTCCTCGCAAAACCCATCCGAACAACCCACCTGCAGGTCTGGGCTTAGGAAGAAACCACAAGCACCAATACAACCAACCTAAGTGGCCCGGGTTTCATCTGCAGGTGGCTTAGGAAGAAAATACGAGTATTGATGCTTAGTTATAGGAGTTCCATAAGTAGGCTGTATATTAAGTAGACACGTCAACTGTTGGCCTCAGCCTAAGCTCAACATGTTGACCGGCTCTGTTTCAGAGCGCCACGAATTCTGCAATGACATCAAGTGCTTCAAGGCTTCAAGCATTGCATGCTTCCTAATCGAGCATGTTGGGAAACGCTGTGGTTGCGGGCTGAGTTTGGCTACCCCACCAGTGAGTAAGGATTGAGGCTGTGGGGCTCTTTGGTTATTTGTCTAAATGCCGCGCTTTGGCGCATCCACTCAAATTGTCTGTTGATGGCTGCTATGTAGGTATTGTGTGTGTGTGAATGTGACTCAACAATTGTTCCACTCTTTGACTACCGCAGGGTAGACTTAAACCCAAGGGTGGTTCATTTCCCCCAAACAAAGAGAACCCTGGGTTGAAGTCTATCTTGGGTGGTCAAAAGGCTGAACCCTGGTCCGATCTGTCTTGTTTGTTCACTGCAGCCAAGGTAAGCTGTGGACTGACCCCGCGTACACACACACACACACGCACGCACGCACGCACGCAGGCACGCAGGCACGCACGCACGCACGCACGCACGCGCACGCACGCGCACGCGCACGCGCACGCGCACGCGCACGCGCACGCGCACGCGCACGCGCACGCGCACGCGCACGCGCACGCGCACGCGCACACACACGCACACCCACACACCGCACACACACACACACACACACACACACACACACATGCATTGCTCCGTCGCGTGGGCGCCGATGTTCTGGAGAGTGACTTGTCCCACTCCACAAATATGCAGGCACATCCAACACAGTGAGCATCCCAAGATTCTGCACCCAGAGACGTTTTTTAGCTTCCAACACCAGGGGTTGCTCGAGGCTCCATACGTCGAACTCAGGCCGCGGCTGGGGCTCGCTCGACTCCTCCTCCACGACATCCTGCAGATCCGAGTTCTGGGCCAGTTGAGTGGTCTTACCATTTGAGCAATGGTGAGGGATAGATTTATGGCGGTCTGTCCGTTTTTGAGGGCAACCGGCTTTAAAGGCACAACAAAAGGAAAACACGTCTCTTTTCGGGGGGGGTGCCCTAAAATAGACTTGGAAAGGAAAGCCGCAATCTTCAGGCTATGCCGGCTCAGAACAAAACAATATGGATCAAAGCGCACAAGCCCATACGTTGGGAGTCTGGATCTGCCACAGCCTGGAATCTTTCTTACCCTGTCACACATTCCATTCGAGTAGCTCAATGTCAATCTTCACACGGCCCAGCAACCCCACTGTCTCCAAAACTTGTTGGTTCTCGCGGAATGAGACATGGAATGACCCCTCTTTCAACCATCCAACTGGTGGTTTTCTTTCTTCGGGAATTCCCCCCCCCCTCACCCCTCACCCCTCACCTCACCTCACTTCCCCTCACTCCCCTTGGGTCCTCCTTGGGCCGGCCCCAGCCGCCGCCGCCGGCGGGCACCAGTCGGATGCCCGGGTCCTGGCCCTCGTTCTCCGACTTCAGCGACCCCAGCTGCACGGGGCGGGGGACCTCCACCCTGACGCGCAGGCGAGAGGGGAGCGAGCGCGGGGGAGCGGGTTCATCAATCTTCCGCAGTCCCAAAACCTGGCCCCAGCATTGACCATGGCTTACTTTTCCCAAGTCGAATCTAGTTTTAGTGGTTTCCGGGATTCCCATATTTTTGGACCTTCTCATCAACCCCCAGAGCGGGGGCAAGGGATGGATGCTGTGCCAAGCGTCGACTTTTGGATATGGCTCTGGCTCAAATGCCAGCGTTTGGGCAATCGCAGGTTATAACTTTTCCATCTACCAGCTGCCAATTTGGCTTCCGTTATGTTTTAGGCCACATGGCACCTAGAGTGCTATGGAACTGCCATGCTTCGTGCCAAAGGGCCCTTCGCTGCAATGAGAATCAGCGATGCCCGTGCCTGGGTGCTGGACGCTGCCTCGGAATCAAGCCACGGCAAGGGGAAGTCACGACAGTGGTCGCTTGGGTTTTTTAGGGTTGGTCGGTTGGATGGTTGTTTGCTTAGTTGGTTGTCTGTTTGTGTGTGTGTGTTTGTGTTTGTTTATGTGTGTTTGCTTGCTTGCTTGCTTGCTTGCTTGCTTGCTTGCTTGCTTGCTTGCTTGCTTGCTTGCTTGCTTGCTTGCTTGCTTGCTTGCTTGCTTGCTTGCTTGCTTGCTTGCTTGGTTGCTTGCTTGCTTGCTTGCTTGCTTGCTTGCTTGCTTGCTTGCTTGCTTGCTTGCTTGCTTGCTTGCTTGCTTGCTTGCTTGCTTGCTTGCTTGCTTGCTTGCTTGCTTGCTTGCTTGCTTGCTTGCTTGCTTGCTTGCTTGCTTGCTTGCTTGCTTGCTTGCTTGCTTGCTTGCTTGCTTGCTTGCTTGCTTGCTTGCTTGCTTGCTTGCTTGCTTGCTTGCTTGCTTGCTTGCTTGCTTGCTTGCTTGCTTGCTTGTTTTTGTTTGTTTGTTTGTTTGTTTGTTTGTTTGTTTGTTTGTTTGTTTGTTTGTTTGTTTGTTTGTTTGTTTGTTGTTCGTGTCATTGACGGGACACCCTTTTCAAGGGGACTTCTGCCTCACAAATAGTTGTGTCTTGTAGCTTCTACCTCTACAGCAAGCATGAGGCATCTCGAACTGGCGAGCAGACCGGACAAGGAGCAGACAGACATGCGACGCAACAATGTGCGCGGCTGAAGAGTTTGGCGATATTCTGTCAATCGGCAAATGTGCCATGTGTGTGTGTGTATGTGTGTGTGCGTGCGTGGATGTAACGATCACGATTGCAAATGCTGATTGTGAGATCGGAAGGCTTGTGATGCTGATGATGATGATGATGAGGATGATGATGAGGAGGAGTAGGGGGAGGAGGAAGATGGTTAGTTTACGATGACTTTCCATTTGTACAGTATAAGGCCGAATTGGCACAGTGCCAAAAAACAAGGCAACATCCTGTTGCGCTGATCTTATGCTTGATATAGTTCGCAAGTTGCCCACTTGAATGAAGGGATTGCACTGATGCAAAGGATGTGACAAGTGACAACAATGCCATAGGCAGACCCTTCTAACAGAAACATACGACGCGTCTCACAATCGCAAACACGGACTTGCAACTACATAGTGAGCCACGGAAAGCCCATAGCTATGACACCCAGCCCTGAGATCGGTAAGAAAACTCCCGCGTCGATAAAGGCCCTGGCCACATAGTCAGGCTGCACCGCAAGGACGACGGGGATATGTAAGGCAAAGCCGGTAAAGCCAAGTTCTGAACCCAAGCTGCGGGCAATGCTGGCTGTTCTGAATCTGGATCCGCGGTGCAAAGGACCCAACCCTCTCCCCTTCCCCAGATCCACACAGGGCACGCTGGGGCACAGCACCTAAGCCGTCCCACGGAAAGACCTGGGGAGGGCTCTGGCCCCACATGAGGTGGGCTAACACGGCATATGTCACAATCCACTGCAAGACTGGAGGCTCTTTAGACAATAAAACTTGGCCCGGATCTTTTTGGCATCTGCTCGTGCTTACCTTTTAGTGCTCACGGGCCATGTGGAAAGGTTTTTAGGATGCAGGTCGGTTGTATTTGCTCGCGGGTTGTGACGTCAAAGGGATGCACGCACACTGCCCATTCCTGCTTGCATCGGATAAGGTCATGTCACAGTCTTGACAAGCTCGAGCTGAAACCAATGGCGCCCTCGCTTGCCAGAAAGCGCTTCAGCCATCCAGGTATCGTTTTCCCCAGACTTGATGCCTTGCATTAATTTGGCCGTGACTCCAAAATTGGAATCCCGAAAATGGTTTCTTCATATATGTAAACCAAAACCTGCCTACCTGCCTGTTCCCCGGCATCTGTTTTTGGGCCGCACCTCACTTTTGCAACTCCGGAGACCCGGACCCCGGTCCATCTGCAGCGGCGCCGGGCGCTGGGCGCGCGCTGGCGCGTGCACGAATTCCGCTCAGGGATGAAACCCCGCGCGACCCGAGCCTCAAAGAACCGGTCGGGAGAATCTTGTTGGCAAGAACCAAAAATGGCGCTGAGACTGGAGTTGGCATCAACAAAGAGAAGTGGAGCCTCGTTTGGTTGTCAAGTGGCTTTGAGATTGCGCTGGTGAGAATGCATTGAAATTGTGCTTGCCAATCTTTTGTGACTGTGGTTTATCAGTTGGAATGTTGTTTCTGTCCTGTGGCAGTTAGATTGCCTTCTGTTTTCAGCTGGTTCTGTGCTTGAAGACGTGCTTGCTCTACCTTCAGTTTGTGCTTGCAGTGAACAATCAATATATGGACTGGGGGTGCGCAGGGTTCACCTCAACCAATTCGATCTGATGGACATCAACCAACCCAAAGATTGGTCCCGTAAAAAGTTGCCAGAGCGGCTCCCGCTGATGACCCTGTACCAAGGAAGCAAGTGGTTCTCGGGTCCTGGGTTTCCCGAAGCGCGACAGACCCCATGGGGCCGCCATCTGCGAAACCACCCAGTCCATCGCAAAGGGCATCCCCTTTGGGGGGGCCGTGAAAGATCACGGGCGCACTAGCCCCGCGACCCAGTCGGAGGGCAATTGTTTCTTTTCCAAAGCAAAGGACCGAAAGAAAATAATGTTTTCTTTGGCCAAGGCCATTTCTTCCTTACCTGGTAAGGTCATGGACTTACTCCACCCAAGGCCTTTTTCTTCCATAAGGCCGGCGAAGAAAATATCGTGCCTCCAACTGCCAAGATGAACCCCAAGCCGCTGAGCTTGGCTTCGCCAAAGCCGCCGCCTCTCACACGTCACCTCGGGTTGCGACTTGCCCAAGAAAGGTGGAGTCAAGCAACCTCTGGTTGTCAACACGTTAAGGGGCTAAGCAAAACAGTCCAAGGGCTCTGAAAGTCGGGCACAAGACTCCGATTTATTCCAGCTGTAGGTCCATCAAATTACCCAGCGGATGCAATGCTTATCAACTATGGCTCAATGAGGCTCGGCGTTTTAGCTTAGGAACAAATCGCTTCCTTCTTCCCGCGCGAGAAGGATGAAGGAAGACTGTGGAGGATCCGGTCTGCAACTAGGACTATGAGCGAAGGCATTTCAATCTTCAGGCCGCAGAGGCTGCATGCAGCTGGCTTGGGGGCCCTTTTCGGAGAGCATAGAGCCCCAGAACTAAGACATTGGAATGCAATTGAGTCGAGTTGCTTCGCTTGCTTTGCTCTCATTGGAGCCAAAACTCCATCCCTTAAGAGCTGGCTCGGCTTAGTGAATGAAAACTCCACGGCAGATGCGAGGACCGTCGAGAGCAACAAGCAAATGATCAATGTGGTGAATTTGTGCTCACATGCCAGGGTTTGAACACAAACGGAGCCTCCGCAGATTTTGCCGGACAGCCGCGTGGTGCGCCTCGCACTGATCTCCAAGGGGCCGTTGTGCAATGGGCCCGCCCTAACCATCACATTGAGGGATCCCACCATGCGAACAAATCTGCGGCCAAGGTCCGGACCTTCCTTTTCCCAGCTTGAAGGTTGCCAGGAGCTTGCCAAGTGCATTTCTATGTACGGGCTTATCTTGGTTGTGTGGGTGTTTGAGCTGTGTGTGCATGCCCAGTGTAAGCGGAAAAAGCCAATGTGGACGGGGGCTATGAATTGAGCTGCCATATGTGCTATGTTGTGCCGTTCCTCTACAAAAAATGGTTTTAACAAACACTCATGATACAACTCCATGTCCGGAGTCTGCAGCAATGCTATTGATGTTCTGCCAATTTTGTGCTCTCTCTCAAGCACCTGAGGCCGGATCCTTTCACGTCTTGAAGAGCCATTGAAGAAACGCCTCGCGCTGGCAAAGTCGCAGGGCTTGCCCACCGCACTCCAAAACGGCATCAAAAAACTTATTCCTGAACATCAAAAAAAAACTCGTTAGGGGTCAAAAAACTTATCCTCATACATTTACTACTAAAAATGAAAAGTCAGAGGATCAAAAAATAACTTGTGAGGGATCAATAACACACTTCATTTCGTGGCAGGCGCAGCGCTTTCGCCGGGTCAGGTACAGATTTCGCGGCAGGCGCAGCGCTTTTCGTAAGGTCAGGTATACAGATTTCGCGGCAGCCGCTTTCGCAAGGCACGGTACAGATTTCGTGGCAGCCGCAGCACTTTTGCAAGGTCAGGTACAAATTTCGTGGCAGGCAAGGGCAGGTGTACAGATTTCGCGGCAGGCGCAGCGCTTTCGCTAGGTACGGTACAGATTTCGCGGCAAGCGCAGCAATTTTGCAGGGTCAGGTGCAGATGTCGTGGCAAGCGCAGTACTTTCGCAAGGTCAGGTACAGATTTCGTGGCAGGCACATCACTTTCGCAAGCGATGAAGAGAAGATAAAGAGAAATAAACATGCAGAAAAAGGGAGAAAGAGCCAAAGAGAGAGAGAGAGAGAGAAAGAGAAAGAGAAAGAGAAAGAGAAGAGAAAGAGAAAGAGAAAGAAGCAGAAAGACAAAGAGAAAGAGAAAGAGAAAGAGAAAGACAAAGACAAAGACAAAGACAAAGACAAAGACAAAGAGAAAGAGAAAGAGAAAGAGAAAGAGAAAGAGAAAGAGAAAGAGAAAGAGAAAGAGAAAGAGAAAGAGAAAGAGAAAGAGAAAGAGAGAAAGGGAAAAATATCGAGAGAGAGAGAGAGAAAAAGAAAGAAGGAAGGAAGCAAGGAAGCAAGGAAGGAAGGAAGGAAGGAAGGAAGGAAGGAAGGGAGGGAGGGAGGAAGGAAGGAAGGAAGGAAGGAGGGAAGAAGGGAAGGAGGGAAGGAGGGAAGGAGGGAAGGAGGGAAGGAGGGAAGGAAAGAAAGAAAGAAAGATCGCAGAAGTGATGATTCAACAAAGCGTGCATCCGCGGATTCCCGAAACCGATTCTGAGAACTTTTCAAAATGTTTCAGATTTCCTTCCTTTACTTCCTTTCTTTTCCCTCCTTCCTTGCTTGATTCTTTTCCCTTCCCTTGCTTCCTTCCTTCCTTCCTTCCTTCCTTCCTTCCGTCCTTCGTCCTTCCGTCCTTCCTTCCTTCCTTCCTTCCGTCCTTCCTTCCTTCCTTCCTTCCCTTCCTTCCTGGAAATCCTTCCTTCCTTCCTCCCTCCCTCCCTCCCTCCCTCCCTTCCTTCCTTCCTTCCTCCCTCCCTCCCTCCCTTCCTTCCTTCCTTCCTTCCCTCCCTCCCTTCCTTCCTTCCTTTCTCCCTTCCTTCCTTAGGAATGAGAAGACGTTTTTTGTCCCCAAAAAGTTTGTTGTTCATTCCTACTAGGCTTGTTTGCTCCCTAAGAAGTTGTTTGATGCCTATCCCTCACAAGCATGCTGTCGCGAGCTCTAGCCTGAAGCCTGCGAGTTGCGCGCAGGATCCAGCTGTGTAAAGAAGTGGCGGCTATACAGGTGAAGCGCTGCTGTAAGAATTGTTTGCGGCGTTTTGCGGGTGTTGTTTGCGAGTATGGCCTGCGGGCACAAGATCTGTTCGTCTGCTGGTAAGTGTCTACTGTGGCAATCGGGCGATTTGTTCCAACGTCGTGTTGCGCCGGTTACCTAGCCCGGGGCGGGGGGCGCCAGAGGCGCAGGGTTGGATTTCCCCTGGACATCAATATTGAACTTTATCCTTGAACCTTTCTGAATCCTGCATAGCAAGCCCGGGAATAGATTCGTCGCACGTCGCCGTTCGACACGCGAACAGCAACAAGTGCAAACTGGGCTAGCAGCTAGATGTTACAGATCTACAAGAGCTTGCGGAAGTCGCCAAGCAAGCTGCACAGCAAATCCCTCCATGGCCTTGATTCATGTGTTGAGTCAGCCTGCTCATAATCATAGTGTATAAGCGAAATGGCGTTCCTTGAAGCGGGCCGAGATGAAGTGCAGAACTTGGGCACAGACGCAAGCCAGTAGACACGAATTAAGATGCATGCATCAACCCTTGGCTGGCATTTGGCAGAAGGCAAGTCTCATGACATGCCTTGTGCTCACATTTCGCGTTACCTCATCCCCCCCCAAAGAGATCCAGTAGCTTTGCATGCAAACGCTTCTGCCTTATGTCAAGCATGACCACGTGGTGACAATTCAAAATCTGGGCTGCCTCCTTCGGTGAAGCCTGGTGCTTTCTTCATGGGTCTAAGTGCTTGACACTGTGGCGCCAACCCACACCTGCCCAACATCCCTCCCCCTACACTTCGCCCTTTGGTCCACACATGTCCAGTGCGCCGAGGTTCATCAAATCTGGCTCCTGGATGGTGGGCCCCTTGCGCTTTCCATGCCACGCAGGCAAGGCAAAGGAGGCCGCACGAGCCAGAAAACCAGCCAACCTTAGCTGGCTTGACCCTGCAACTGGCCGAGTGTCCTCAGGTGGCACAGGCGAACACGCTAGCTCGTGGTTTACAATGCAGAAGGAAGCCCTCAAACATGTTCATATAATATGGATATGTGCTGCATACATGCGTTGAGAAATCACATATATATATATATATATTCAAATTATACACTCACCCCCCTCACATGATCCCCGCCTCGTTTGTGTAGCACATTTTGCGCAACACCTGTGTTGCTTCGGGGGGGAACAGGGAGAGGGATCCAAAAACTTTTTAGGCATCAAAAAACTTATTCCTGAACATCAAACTAAAACTTATTAGGGGTCAAAATGACTTCTCCTCTTCGATTTACTGCTAAAATGAAAAGTCAGAGGATCAAAAAAAAAATGTCAGGGATCAAAGACAACTTCTTCATCTCGCAGCGCTTTCGCAAGGTCAGGTACAGGTCTTTTGGCAGGCGCAGCACTGTCGCAAGGTCAGGTCTCCAGATTTCGCGGCAGGCGCAGCACTTTCCGCACGGTACAGATTTCTTGGCAGGCGCAGTACTTTCGCAAGGTCAGGTACAGATTTCGTGGCAGGCGCAGCACTTTCGCAAGCGATAAATAGAGAGGTAAAGAGAAATAAACATGCAGAAAAAGGCAGAAAGAGAGAGAGAGAGAGACAGAGAGAGAGAGAAAGAGAGAGAAACAGAGAGAGAGACAGAGAGAGAGACAGAGAGAGAGAGAGAGAGAGAGAGAGAGAGAGAGAGAGAGAGAGAGAGAGAGAGAGAGAGAGAGGGAGGGAAGAGAGAGAGAGAGAGAGAGAGAGAGAGCGAGAGAAAGAGAGAGAAAGAAGGAAAGAAGGAAAGAAGGAAAGAAGGAAAGAAGGAAGGAGGGAAAGAAGGAAAGAAGGAAAGAAGGAAAGATCAATGAAGGAAAGAAAGAAAGAAAGAAAGAAAGAAAGAAAGAAATAGAGGAGGGAAAGAGAGAAAGAAAGAAAGAAAGAAAGAAAGAAAGAAAAACAGAAAGAAAGAAACAAAGAAACAAAGAAAGAGAAAGGGAAAAATGAAGAGAGACAAAGAGAGACAAACAGAAAGAGAAAGAAAGAAATACAGAAAGAAAGAAAGATCCGAGATGCGATGATTCAACAAAAGGTGCGTTAATCTCTGCAAACATTCTGAAAACAAGCAGAGGGTTTGGGGGGTGGCAGCAGGCCTCTCCATGACGATCGAACGAGTGATGATTCAACAAGGGTGCGTACTCTCTGCAAACATTCTAAAAGTCAGCGAGGGGGTAGGGGGGGCGGCAGCCCCTTCCGTGATGATCGAAGAAGTGATGATTCAACAAAGGGTGCATCCGCCGATTCCCGGAACCGATATTGAAAACCTCTCAAAATGTTTCAGATTTCCTTCCTTTACTTCCTTCCTTCCTTTACTTCCTTCGCTCCCTTTCTTCTTTTCTTTCCGTCCTTTCTTCCTTCCTTCCTCCCTCCCTCCCGTCCTTCCTTCCTTCATTCCTCCCTCACTCCCTCCCTCCCTCCCTTCCTTCCTTCCTCCCTTCCTTCCTTAGGAATGAGAAGACGTTTTTTGTCTCCGAAAAAATTTTTGTTCATTCCTACTAGGCTTGTTTGCTCCCTAAGAAGTTGTTTGATGCCTATCCCCCACAAACATGCTGTCGCGAGCTCTAGCCTGAAGCCTGCGAGTTGCGCGCAGGATCTAGCTGTGTAAAGAAGAGGCGGCTATACAGGTGAAGCGCTGCTGTAAGAATTGTTTGCGGCGTGTTGTGGGTGTTGTTTGCGAGTATGGCATGCGGGCACAAGATCTGTTCGTCTGTTGGTAAGTGTCTACTGTGGCAATCGGGCGATTTGTTTCAACGTCGTGTTGCGCCGGTTACCTAGGCCGGGGTGGGGGCGCCAGAGGCGCAGGGTTGGATTTTGGCGAGTTTTAACACTCCAGGCTGGCCAAAAAGTGTGTTGTGGTTTGGCGGAGGGATGAGGAAAAGCGAAATGTGAGCACAAGGCATGTCATGAGACTTGCCTTCTGCCAAATGCCTGTGCCCAAATTCTGCACTTAGCCTCCACAATTCAAAAACTGGGCTGCCTCCTTGGGTGATGCTTTCTTCGTGGTCTAAGTGTTTGGCCCTGTGGCACTGCCCAACATCCCTCCCCCTACACTGTTTTTTTGGTCCATACATGCGAGCAATTTCCACGTCCAGTGTGCCAAGGTTCAACAAATCCGGCTCCTGGATGTTGGGCCCCTTGCGCTTTCCATGCCACGCAGGCAAGGCGAAGGAAGCCGCACAAGCCAGAAAACCAGCCAACCTTAGCTGGGCCCACAGGACGAGCGGCTCTACTTGGCTTGCAAACTTCCATCAGCGGCATGGCTTGACCCTGCAACTGGCCAAGTGTCCTCAGCGAACACGCTAGCTTGTGGTTTACAAGACAGGAGGAAGCCCTCAAACATGTTCATATAATATGGATATGTGCTGCATACATGCGTTGAGAAATCATATATATATATATATATATATATATGTATATAAGATATATATATATATATAATATGCTCACCCCCCTCACATGATCCCCGCCTCGTTTGTGTAGCACATTTTGCGCAACACCTGTGTTGCTTCCAGGGGGGAACAGGAAGAGGGATCCAAAAACTGTTTAGGCATCAAAAAAACTTATTCCTGAACATCAAACTAAAACTTATTAGGGGTCAAAATAACTTCTCCTCTTCGATTTACTACTAAAATGAAAAGTCAGAGGATCAAACAAAAACTTATCAGGGATCAAAGACAACTTCTTCATTTCGCAGCGCTTTCGCAAGGTCAGGTACAGGTCTTTTGGCAGGCGCAGCACTGTCGCAAGGTCAGGTCTCCAGATTTCGCGGCAGGCGCAGCACTTTCCGCAAGGTACAGATTTCGTGGCAGGCGCCGTACTTTCGCAAGGTCAGGTACAGATTTCGTGGCAGGCGCAGCACTTTCGCAAGCGATAAAGAGGAAGATAAAGAGAAATAAACATGCAGAGAAAGGCAGAAAGAGAGAGAATAGGGGGGAGGGAGAGAGAGAGAGAGAGAGAGAGAGAGAGAGAGAGAGAGAGAGAGAGAGAGAGCGAGAGAGAGAGAGAGAGAGAGAGAAAAAGAAGGAAATAAAAGATGAAAGAAAGAAAGAAAGAAAGAAAGAAAGAAAGAAAGAAAGAAAGAAAGAAAGAAAGAAAGAGAGAAAGGAAAAAATGAAGAGAGAGAAAGAGAGACAAACAGAAAGAGAAAGAAAGAAAGAAAGAAAGAAAGAAAGAAAGAAAGAAAGGAAGAAAAAAGAAAGAAAGCAAAAAAAGAAAAAAGAGAAAGACCCGAGATGCGATGATTCAACAAAGGGTGCGTTAATCTCTGCAAACATTCTGAAAACCAGCAGAGGGTTTGGGGGGTGGCAGCAGGCCTCTCCATGACGATCGAACGAGTGATGATTCAACAAGGGTGCGTACTCTCTGCAAGCATTCTAAAAGTCAGCGAGGGGTAGGGGGGGCGGCAGCCCCTTCCGTGATGATCGAAGAAGTGATGATTCAACAAAGGGTGCATCCGCCGATTCCCGAAGCCGATATTGAGAACCTCTCAAAATGTTTCAGATTTCCTTCCTTTGCTTCCTTTCTTCCTTTACTTCCTGGCATTCCTTCCTTTGCTCCTTCGCTCCTTCCTTACTTCCTTGCTTCCTTGCTTCCTTGCTTCCTTGCTTCCTTGCCTCCTTCCTTCCTTCCTTCCTTCCTTCCGTCCGTCCTTCCTTCCTTCCTTCCTTCCTTCCTTCCTTCCTTCCTTCCGTCCGTCCGTCCGTCCGTCCGTCCGTCCGTCCGTCCGTCCGTCCGTCCGTCCGTCCGTCCGTCCTTCCTTCCTTCCTTCCTTCCTTCCTTCCTTCCTTCCTTCCTTCCTTCCTTCCTTCCTTCCTTCCTTCCTTCCTTCCTTCCTTCCTTCCTTCCTTCCTTCTCCCCATAGGAATGAGAAGAAGTTGTTTTTGTTGATGCCTATCCCCACTCCAAAGGGGGAGAAAAGATGCTGATGTCTCTTAGTCAAGCAGTAAAACGAAGCGACGGAAAGTCCAGAAGTTGCCGTAGGCCAAGAAAAACATACTACTCTCCGAACAAAACATACCTTGCGGCCAACATGTCAAAGTGAGGTCTTGTGTCATGAGGCTCTGCTTGTTGGAGATTAAAGCCTCCTTCAAGAATCCTCATCTCAGGCCATCTTCTCTTAATCGCCTCGCATGCCGTTTCCTTTCAAAGCAGCGCAAGACATTAGATGACAACGACTTTCGCTCGGAGCTGTGAGCAGTACAATGTTACCTGGTGTCACGCATGGTGAACGTCCCATGGCCATGGGTCAAAATCCCTGTCAACATCCCAATCCCCACCAAAGTAGGGGTGGTGCACCTACTTGAAAACGGGTTTTTTATTGGTTTTGACCCACAGCCCCACGGGTCTTGGCATGCAAGAGACCACCCGGTTCCCGTTTTTCTGAGACGGCGCCAGCGGCGCTGACGCTCACGGCCCGCGCCTCACAATCCACCACCGCGCCCTTGCTGACACCTTCGGCGCCCTGAAGGAGAGCGAGAATGGGAGGCGCTGGGCAAATTCAGGCTATCCACCGTGTCCATCTTAACAGAGTCAAACGCCGCAATAACCCCAGCGCAAATTACTGGTCAAGGCTACTCAAGCTGAAACATTCGGAAAACTCCCCTAATCATTCATAAACGCTCACTTTCATGTCGAATACTTCCGCCTCATTCCCAAATCCTTCTGAAACGTGCGAGGGAGCACAGGCAAAGGTGTTCTGCTGGGCTTGGAACATGGCAGCTCAAATGGTTCGCTGGGGTCGCTCTGCTGGTGTGTGTGTGTGTGCGTGGTTTTCCCTTAGGCCCCCAATTGTTACACGCATGACATTTGTTTGCCCCCGCCCTCATGCAGCGGCTCGCACGAGCCAATGACTGCCAATGGGTTCTCCATGTTGGACACATGGCTGCAAAAGGAGCGGATATCAGCCGTGTTAACTTCGAAACTTGGACAACTGATGTGGTAGGAAACCTCTTGCCTTTGCCCCTACGCCCAAATTCTTGGTACGCTGCTTCTTTTGTTTTGCATGTCAGTGCGAGAGCTTGAAGCTTCTGTTGCGTCAAAACCAACAGCCAAAACCGTGCCCGAAGTAAGATTGATCCAAGTGACACGGAAAAAAACGGCTGCGAGACTCTTCCTGGCCGCCTTTTCGCACCATGCAGCTTGTGGGGAAAAATTGCGAGCTGACTGTGGGTCAAAAATAGGCACCCAAAATGGAACCCCGGCAAGTGGAAACATGGACTAAAACCTGCGGTCCCCTAGTGGTTCAATATTGACCCACACCCAGCTGATCCGCAGCAAGCCTTGGCAGAAATTTGAACAGTCTCCCAAGTTCTCCGCAACCGAAGAGAACCTCCCAAACCCAGAACCCACACAAGGACCCTGAAGGTGTCACTTTCATACCCTCTGCGCTTGCATTCCTACCTGGGCATCTGAGTACTGAATGAAGGCATTTCCTGGTGTCAAAACCGGAGTAAACCTATCATTTTGGCGGTGCCCTCAGTTTGGGACGCCCGCCTCAAGCAGCATCTGGAGCTGACTCTGCGAGAGCTCACCCCCCTCGGCCAAAATGGCCGCAGTGGGTGGTTGGCCGTCACGTTTGGTTCGATTTGTGTCTGTGCTATGACTGTGCTATCGTTGGTGCTTGGTGAACGTTGACTGACTTTTGCCCCCCAACTTCCGAATATATCAAGCAACCTGAGACAAAATACAAGTCATTTCCGGACAGGCAGTAGACCAACCTGGAAACATGTGCGCGTTTGCTGTGAAAGGCCTGACAATACGCTCGTACATCTCCCCTTTGCTTCGCTTTCCCTGCAAAAGAGGCTGGTTCCAGAGTGCTTGCCGAAAAAAAAATCCGCCCCTCCTTTCTTTTCGCACGTCCTGACACTCGCCAGGACCCGCCCTTTGGAAGAAGAAAAACCAGCCCCAGGGCCCCAGGGCCCCCCCCCCTCAGGGGGCCTATGGAGGGCCCCGGGGCCGGCCCCAGAAGGCCCCGGCCGTCAGCACCGTCTCCAGGTGTCTCAACTCCACCCGCCCCTGGCCGCGGAAGGCCTCCGGCGCTGGCCGTAGGCGCGCATCCGCATCCGCTCGCCGGGTGATTTTTATTTTTATTTTTAAGAGGTCGGTGGCGCGACATTTCGGCCTCATTTGTTCATGTCTTTTTTCGGGGTGGTGAGTGAAAGAAAAGAACACTAAGCAGGGTGTGGCGATATTGATTGCTCTTTTTGAGTTGGTGCCCCGTTTTGTTGGTGGTTTCTGAAAGGAAAACCGAAAGGAACATTCGGCAATTTGGGGGGGTCCAACCTTAAAAAAGACACCCAGCTGGCTCGCAAGTTGTTTCCTTCACAGCCTGGCTCTCAGGATCTCTAAGCACACAACTTGGTTCAGAACGTTCTTTGCTGGTGCAGATCTGTTTTGGCACCCATTTATACCAGGGACACTTGTATGGAAACGAACGCGTCACGCACTTCACCTCGCTGTACCAAATAAACGACCACGCGCCAAAATCAGCGGCTACCAAACGGGACTTTTCAGGGGTTATACAGGGGCCACACAGGGTGCGCACCCCAAGCAACCTTACATGTTTGGCTTCCAGGTGGTTTATAAGCATTTCGGGCAAGCAAAGAGCTGCGGCCAATGGTCCGAGGCGGTCCGAGCTGATTCAAAAAAATGTTCCGATAGACGGATCCATCAAAGAGCAGGGCCAATAGTTGGCAGAGCGACGATGTTGAGATGTCAGTGAACGTGCGGTTCAGCCCGGGCGACTTGGTTGATCAACATCACTGATGATCAGTGGCTTTTTGCTAGGGTTCTGCCTTCCATGCTGACTATGTGACGGCCTGTATGGCCATAGTGATGCTTCACCCGCACACGAATCCAGACGGTCTTCCAAATCCACTGTCTCAAGCCTCACCTCGTCACACCATGGCATCCACGTGCCACCCCACCCACGTGCCAACGCCTCATGCACCAGCAAGACCTCCTCGCCTCGGGAAAGGACCCTGCTTGTCAGCATGGCTCGTGCCGTACACCACATGTCGGCTTGTCGACCCCCGTTAGCAAGGCAAAAGGGACCGAAGGGTCTTCGGAATGACAGTGGCGTCCGATCATTGCCCCTTTTTTCTTGGGCTGGTCTTCCATGCTTGGGGATGTTGGTAGCGGCGAATGGTCTCAATCTGTAGTGAAGGAATGCCTTGGAAAGATCGAAAGCAGGAGCCATTAGCAGCCATTAGGCTCTTGTAGCTGCATGTTGAGGGGTATGATTTGGCATGTTGCTGAAAATCTTAAGGCTAGCCCACTTGGATCCCATGGCAACTTTGAGAGGATAATGATAAAATGAAGCAAATCTACTTCCAAGTTCTTACCATCACAGTCACCGCAGGGCACCCCGCCTGTCTCCTCCTCCGGCACTCGTCCAAAGCATCTCGGCTTTGAGTCCTGCACCGGGCTGCGAGGGTTCCGCGAGGCAGCATTTGATGGATCGAAAGTGCGTAGCTTTCTTGGCAAAAAAAAAGGAGAAAAAAAGAGAGAACAAAGCGTTGTCAAGCCATTCCACCGGACATGGTCGACTCCCTGCACCGAGAACATATGACCCAAGCGCGACAAGAAGTTGGGTGAAAGCACAGCTTCCCCGCAGAGCAGAGTCCAAAGCCTAAACAACCGTGCTGCATCAGCACGTATTTGTTGGCTAGAGCGGCTGCGTGGTCTATCAACACCTCCCAACAGTGGAAAGATGTAAACCTGATGGACCCTTTCGGAAACCCGAAAGGACTGCCCTTCTCTGGTACGCAAGCAACCTGCGAGAAGGGGTCTTGACGGAGCTTTGAAATGGTGTGACCTCGTCAATCCTGACTCCCGAGCCTGATACCTCAGGCTGCGCTCGGAAAGCAAGCCTTTCTGTCACCACGGAAACCTGCTTCTCGCTGGGGTTTCACTCTTTCACCAAGGTCGAAATATACAAATATATGAATATATACAAACAATTTATTTTTTTCTGCGGAGCTACTGGACCGGCTCGAGCAGTACAGGACTCCCAAGAGCTCGGGAGTTCTTTCCAGAGCGCTGGACAGCTCCGGATGAAGTACAAGGAGTCAAACATCAGCTGGACATGTCGAGTCTACACCGGCTCTGGCACCACTCTCCCAAACCACCCCGTCTACCCCGGTGCCTGAGAGGTTAGCGCCACAGCTGGTGTCAGGATGTTGGAGCTTAAGCGCTGCATACGGCCTCGCAAATTGAACAACCGTGTCTTCGGAGAAGCTGTGTTCAACCATATTTTATGCATTCTGGCAAAGCTAGGATGCGGGAATGTACTTTTCGAAGTTAAAACTCTGTGTGCCACGCACGGTTCGATTTTGCTGCGGGAGAGTAGATCTTGCCACATGCCCATACTGTGGATAGATGGAATCCTGCACCACCTAAGAACGACGGATTCCCATGGTTTCGAACTGGTGCGGGATTTCGTCCATCCACAGTATGAATGATAATGATACGCTTTGGCTTCAAGTGGAAGGGGCCCTTTCATAAGTGAAACAACATTGATCGCGGCCAAGAGCCTTTTGTCCAAGTGAAGAGAATTGCAAATCTGCCGGGGCGAACAAACAGTAAGCTGCTCCCTAGTGGACTTCACGTTGACGCTACAAAGGAGGCAAAACAAACAAAGGGAGGGAATCTCACCTCAAAATCGGTGCACAGACGGCCAAGAGTCAGAACAATGTCAAGTCCAAAAGCTGATTGGGACTGCTCATTCACCTTGACGTCAACCAGCCGAGCTGCAACGACCGCTCACGCACCTATGTTCCACTGGGCCCCCACACGAAGCTCCAGCATATCGGAAGAGGCGGAGGGAGTTAAGATCTTCTTCCTCACTTTGCCTTCAGGGATGAGCAAGCCGTGCGAGTGGAACGTTGCAATCTGAGCTCAGGCTCTCCCTCAGGCTCTTCTGCCCTGACAGAATTGTGTTTGTTGCAACTTGCGCAGCTCGGTGAATCTGGTTGCTCGCATTGCCTCCACAAAAAGACAGCGCTACGCACAAGACTGGAGCTCGTGCTTGCAACATTCTCACACCTGGTTCATACAATCCCAGACTTTGCCCCCTAAATCTTCGTTGTGGGAAAACAGCGCCTGAAAAATCGGCGAACCCTTGCTGCAAATGTTTACCAAACCAGAACTTGATTGGACTCTGTGCGGAGGCCATGCTCCCTGGACCTGCTTCCGTGCTCCAAAGCGCCGCGTGGAGACTAGGACCACCGGGTCAAGTCCCGCTCAACAGCCGGGCCGGAAAATCGCGGAAGGGAGCCAACTCAAGGACAAAGCACGAGCCGGACACCGTGACACCCCCCAATGCCGCCCATAAACGGCCGAAGCCGATCGAAGCTGACGAGGATTTTTGGGGGCCACTAGGGCCGCCCTGACCCCGAGGGGCGGAAAGCCCCGCGCCTTCCCGCGGATGGGCGCGCAGCCACTTCTCCAGCACCTGGCGCCGCTGCTGGGCCGAGGTGCAGAACCTCGGCTCACGCGTCGGGGGGCTGACCCCATGGGTCCGGCTTCTGGTTGAAAACGCGGCTCAAAAATGGGGGTCCAAAATGGAAAGGTACCCCCAGCTGCTTTATTTTGAGCCATATTCTTGGAGACTCCTCCCAGATTTCTGTTAAGCTTTGGGTATACGTTGGTGAGCACGATGGTGGGATGAATACCTTGCACCGCAGAAGAAAAGCATACAACCCGCCCTGGTGCTATTTTCTCAGGGGGTGTCCACACTGCCAAAGTCAAATCCAGCTCAAATCAAGAAAAGGGCTATGGCGGCAAAGCGGAGCAAAGCAAGCGCACCCAAATGGTGTGATGGCCGCAAACTGGATGGCTCTTACCAGTTCAACCCCCAGAGCAATGACAACAGTTCGAGCAAACATGGATTCCACTGGCAAGTTGAATTACACATGCATGCATTTCCTACGTGAGGAAAACCGTGGATTCCATTAAAAGTATTCGTCTGTCAACCACCAAATCACTAAAGCCGAATGATGCCAAAGGAAGCGGCCAGTTGATCAGGGTATTGGAAAGGCCGAAAACCAGGGCAACCAGCCCTGGTAAGTCAATGAACAAATTGGACAGCGGGATAGCAGCCCATAAATGAAATTCTGCAAATCTCTCAGGATTGCATCTCAGGCCGCAGGACAGTAAAACCATTAAAACCCTTCGTGTTGGAATGAACCTGAAGTTGGGATTCCCTTAAAGGAAACCTTCTTGGAAATGACTTTTCTCTTTTGGTCATTCCCTTTCTCATTCCCTGCCCATCGAACTAAACATCCACTTGACCATGGGTCAAAAGCCCTTCCCCCCAGTGAACATCCGATTCAATCCCCGCCAAAATAGGTTCCAAAATGGGTGGTGCACCAATCCCCCAAAATGGGATCCCATTGGTTTTGACAACCACAGCCACTGAGCCAAAAGAAATCCGAGTTGGGGCCTCCGGCTCTAAGAGCCGCAGCAGAAACTCGCAGCTCTCCTCCACGCGAGCGCTCCGCGCGTCCAGGTCCTATCCACGGCAGAAGTCTCGTCCCTTGGCCCTTGGAAGCGTCTCGTTGGCACAAAGGCAAACCTACTTTGGATGGACAAAATCCTGCACCACTTTGAAACCATGAAAAACCATGGTCGGTTGGTATTTACACTCATTCCAGGGGTGCAGGATTTTGTCCATCCACGGTATGGCGAGAATGAAACAACCCCCAGCGGCCAGCAAATGATTCTGTTGGGGCATAACGGCATGTCCAAAAAATGGCGCAGCACGCCAATCCGACTGACAATCCGCCACCCAGGGGTGCGTCAAGCAAACATGTGGAAACCACAATTCGGCAATGCGACGAGCAAAAAATGCTCAGAAAATGTGAAAAGTGCAGCGGAGAACTTGGGTAATGTTCTCTTGATTCACTGGTCTGGTCAGGATAATGTTGGCATGTCATGCTGGCGTTTCTTTCTTCTCTTAGGGTCCCTGGACTTAAATGTCCCGCACATCGTCCTGGTGATCGCTAAAGACGCTCGCGTTTTCAAGGTTGCGTTGCTTCGGAGCTTCCATGGTCATAAATCATAACTCATCGGACAAGGTGCACATCACCATCTCAAGGTGAAATTGGCAGTATGCTTCCGGGCTAACCCACCTGAGTTTGACAAAATGCTCTAGTTGACTCTCGGCCCCCCTGCAAGTGAGTGGAAAAACCTCAGGGATAGAAACGGAAAGGGAATGTAATCATTGGAAGAAACGGTTCTGCCACCCACTCACTCCGTCCATCTGCGCAAGCCTCACCCCTGGCTCCCTTCCTCATCAGGCTCCACGTGCTTGTCGTCTTTCGCTAACAAGCGCTCGACCACCTGCGAAAGGAAGCGAAACGTTGCCTTTTGACTCAGCCGAGCCAAACTCCCATTGCTCAGCTTAGTTTGATGGCTGAAACCCCCGGACACATTCCTTCCCGCCTGACTGAAACATATCGGTTAGAAGCTTCGGATGACAGCAAAGGGCAAGCGAACACTGTTGACACAAATGCCAAATGCCACCATGCCGGCCATCCTCCACAGCATGTCGACGAAGGCACGTCTGTCAAACGAGCAAGGGCCCTGATGAGTCTGCTGGACTCAATGAGACTATGAAAGGTCGCAACGGCTTGCAAAATGCAAGGCTTTGGGGGAGGCGTTGCTGTTGAAAGATAACCCGTTTCGCGAAAGGTTGCGCTTGCAGGCAATTTCACGCTAGCTTTGCACGTCGCACGTCAGCCTAGCTCAGCAGGAAGATGTTCCCTCTGCCAAAAAAGTCCTCGCATCAGCGGAAGTCTGACGTTCACTGGGCTGGTTGCATGAAGCCCGTCGCAACTGCTCGGGCTGCAGCTTACGTGCAGCGGCGGATCCGATTCCCCAGCAACTGGAGCGGAAATCCTGGCTGCTTGCTGCTCCCAGAAGGCAGACAAGAGTGATGATGGCCGTGAACCGGCTGCCCCTCCTGGTCATGGTGGTCGGCCTGCCCAAGCCCGGATTTGGTGGTTTACATTTTCCAGGACCACACGTCGAATGCGGGCCAATTGAGGATGTTTGCTGGACAGCCTATCTACTTCTGACCTTTCCCGCATGCCTCATTGCGCACGGGTCGGTTCTCCACGCTTCGGGCTTTGCTTGCGGCTGGGCGCTGGACACGTGGCTCGCTCGTCCATTCAGTGCCTGTTGGGCCACCAGGCAAATTGATTTGAATCCAACATGGTTACGTGCGAGCATGAGATTGAGCGACTTGGATACCTCACATATGCCACCAATCAAGAGGGAACAGCTGTTGGGCATACCTGTGCCAATGCCAACTGGGCTGTCTTTCAGTTCATGTTTGCCCTGCTGGAGACAGAATACGAACCGAACCTTTGGCCCAACTCTCAGAAAGCCTGCTGTCTTCCCTGCTCAGTCGTGAAGAGGCGACCGTGTAACATTGCTTTCCCAAGACTCGAAGATTGTGCGGAAGGCAACTCATCGAAGCATAGCGATGCAAGTACTACAAGGCTTGCATTCCTTGATGTAAGCCGTGTTACTTCGTGGTCTGAGCAAATCCGTCCAACCCCTGGCCCGGCAAAACGTGTCTCTCGCCCAGCGACACAGGTGCCTCGTGCGCGTCACTGGGAAGCTGATCCAGGAAGTCAGCAACTTGGCCCTCCACATCGTCCTAGCCATCCAGCAGCAAAAATTGCAAGAGATACTCAAGCTGCCTGCCTTTTTGGTGCGGAACCCGGCAGCGGCATCACCATTGAGAGGGTCTCTCGCTGATGGTAGCTTGGGGCTGCAAAAGATACTCAAGCTGCCTGCCTATTTTTGGTCCGGAATCCGGAAGCGGCAGCATCACCATTGAGAGGGGTCTCTCCCCAATCTCTACGCTGGGGAAGGGCAGCCCAAATGAGAGGCGCCCAATTCTCAAAACAAGACATTTGGTTCGTAGCTCTAGTGTTAGCCTCTGCAAGTTCACACACAAAGGCCTACGGTCTGCAAAACTTGCTAAGGGCTGCAAGACAAGAAGTAAATGAGAGAGAACCATAAAACCAGCAAAATGATATGAACAAGTCAAGGATTTTGCAGCTCTGCAAAAGAAGAATTCATGCAAGAAGCATTCTCTCTCTCTCTCTCTCCCTCTCATGGACACTCACGCATTGACTCTTGCAAATATGTAATGTCTTAATATTACTCTGTGTTCAATCAATAACATCTACCTTCCCTCTCCATCTTCTCCCAACTATGTTATGTGAATCATTTCTGCATTGCTCGTGTAAAACAAGCACTTCTTCATTTCTCTTTGCTTCCAATGAGCAGGAGCCTCTCTCCGCCCCGCGGCTGTGAAGCATGCCCAAACTGGCAGTTCCCACCCAATCAAAGCCATCCAGCCCCGCCGATCTCATGAAGCAAACCACCAGTCATGGTTGCTGATTGATCGAAGCCCCACTCTCTGAAAGCTATCCATCGAGTTTCCAATTGAGCTATCCAACCCTCGGTGCATTTTTCGAAAACCCGGCTCTTCCCGGTTTTCGGGGGGCCTCTGGCTGCGGGAGCAGCTCGTCCCCGTCCACCGCCTCAAGACTGCCACCACATCTCCCGGCAGCTCTCTCTTTGCCGATGGAGCTACGCATTGGATCAACAAAATGGTAATATGGCCTTCAACCGACTGCGGAACTGCCCAAGAACAAGGGGAGAGTGACTGGAGATTGGGTGTATATGGAGGATATATAGGGATATGCCATCCATTGAGGCAGTACACGGTGACTGGAGCTGGCACACTCTCAAAGCGCTCGAATCGTTGATCCTCGGAATGGTCTCCCTAGATCTACATGCAGGCCAAACAGCCGTGCCGGGACAGGATCTTCACAAAGGCAGCCAGGGGAACACGGCGGCTTGTTGCAAGTCAGTGAGCTCAATGGATGTCTGACTGTACTGATTCCCTGCTTGGTGATTCTATCGAATGTGAAACCTATGAATGCCAAGGCAAATGCTCTTCTTTCAAGAGTGGGCAAATTATGCTTCCGACCACCGATGGGTTTCTCAGGCTAGGAACGAAACCCTGGCTAGGAAGCGCACCCCGGCTAGAAATAAAGCGCTTGTGTTCTCCGCATGCTTAATGAACGACAAGTTGGTCCAAGGTTTCCCGAACAACCCCTCATGCTCCACGAAATGGAAATGTCCCCCAAGATGAAGAACCCACAGCCATTTTTGGTCGCATCATCAGTGTGTCTTAGCTTTAGTGACTGAGGGCAGCCAATGCGCAGCCGAGTCTCCAAACCATTCAGGGCCTTGCCAACCGGTTCAACCCCTTTCGAGTTGCTTCACAACCACCAACAAAGCCCCCCACACGAGGCTTAGTTATCAACCGGCACAACTGCATTTCCTAACAACCACCCCTCTTTCTCGCCTCCGCCCTCCCGCGCCTCCAGCGATACGACCTCGTGCTGGGGGCTGCCAACCTCGGCTTCGGTGAGGTATAGAGCCTAAAGCACCTTGCATGCTTTCTTGACTGTGCGATCAACTTCTTGTCCCTCGTCCCCCCTCCTTTTTCGGGTAAAATCCGTTTATTTTATTTCATTTTGTTTCGGGTGGGGGGCAAAAAATAGAGACTGGGGGACTGTGGTAGTGCACTTTTTCGTGACTATCTTGAGAAAGTTATACGATTGCCTTGCTGAAGAGTGTTTGTAGCTGCGATGTCTGAGATCAGTCAAACAAATTGGTCCTCTACTTTCGATTCTGTGACATGCTGCTAATTGCTGCTGCTCGTTCAAGCCAGAGAGCAGCTGCAATTATCTTAGCGTCTTTCTTTCAGTCCTGTTTGGCATTAGAGTTGAAATAGAACTCAATTTGATTCCAGTACGGAAGACAAGCTTGTTGTTTCTGCTAATTTGCCTGGCCCTTAAAGGAGTGAACAACCAGAAGCGCAAGGACAATGCGATTCTTTGAATTGCCACGCTTGAAGTTTAAATCATACGTTAATTAGAATAAAAGTAAGTCGCATATTGAGTTAGAACTAACATAGGGCTTCCTTCCAAGCAAGAATTAAAATGGGAATCATATAGAAGCTGATAAGGAGAAACCAGCTTGGTGTTTCTTCTAATGTTTAAGCCCCTCAAAGGAGTAAAGAACCGTGGAAATGCAAATTATACTCCAATTGGTTTGCAAGTTTTAGATTGCAAGGCTTTAGATTAAATGGGATTTTGGATCGAATGCACTTCAAATTGTCTTTTTTATTTAGACGCTAAATAGTACTTCCCTTCCAAGTAAGATTTGAATTGTAGTTTAATTACAACTCGTATTCTAATTCAGATGCTAAGTGGGATTGTAATTGCACACATGAGTTCGATTAGACTTCAAATGGAATTCATATTCTGAATTCGAATTGAAACAAAATTTCCTTCCAAGTCTAAATAGGAACTCCATTCCAAAACTTAACTATGCTGATTGAGAAATCACAAATAGATAGAAGCTAGTAAGGAAATACAAGCTAGTTGTTCTTCTGAGTAACTCAATTACATCTTTTGAACCGCATTTTAAATAGGAATTAATGTTCAATCATCTAGAATTTTGATTAGAATTAATTATAATTCAAACATAATATTGTAAGGATAGACAAGCTTGTTGTTTCTTCTAGTTAGTTTAAATAGACTTCTCACACTTCATTGGATGCTGAAAAGAAATTGATTAGAGTTCGTATTGTGAAATGATTGACTTTGCAAGTAGCACTTGAATATCAAATAGAAGCTAACAAGGAAAGACTAGCAAGCTGGTAATGTCTTGCAATTTGCCTCCAAAACAATTTAAAAAAAAAAGCCCAGGAACAGATGCAGACCCATCATAGACCCAGAAAACCAAAACAACCTCAATAAAACCCAAAAAGCACAAACAAACACCAAACCAAGCCTCGAAAAACCCAACAATAACAAAAACTCGAGGAAACCCAAAAAACAACATGTGTCCAGAACTCTTTCAACATGGGCTGTGCAACAAAGAGCTTCTAAATCATGTTCTTGTTTGCTTTGGTATTCTCTAGGTTTGTTCTGTAACTGAATAAACCATACACAACAGCCAAGAACAGAGAAGGACCCATCATATACATAAAATAAACTCGAGAAAAACAAAAAAAAAACAAAACACAAGAAAAACAAACAAAAAATGAGAAACCAAAAAGACTTGAGGAACACAAAAAACTCGAGAAAACCAAAAAACAAAGGACCAAAAAAATAACCAAGGAAGAAAAAAACACAGAACTGTTTCAACATGGGTTGTGCTCTAAAGAGTTTCTAAACCATGCTGTCTAGTTTCTTGCGCTTTTGTTTTTTGGGTTTCTGAAGTTGTTGCTTCTTGTTTCTCAAGATGTTTCCTCTGTTCGTGTTAGGACAAGTGCAACTGACATGGCTGACCCATGAGAAGACTGCAAGCCTCCAAACGCGCAAAACGCGCACTACCAGGGTCTGTTCTGAAAGATTCGACTTGCGAAGGGCTTCGTTCAGCCGGACTCACCGTGGCCCAATGAGACTTTTTTCTGCGCCAAGTGCGCTCCGATGCAGACCTAAATTGCGCTACCCCCGCGTTGGCTGGCAAAAAGTGGTGGCAGAAAATTGCGGCAAGGAGTTGGAGAGGAGTTGGAGTTGGAGTGGAGTTGGAGTGGAGTGGAGTTGGAGTGGAGTGGAGTGGAGTGGAGTGGAGTGGAGAGTAAAATCAAGGCAGAAGGGATCTGCCCCCCCCCCCCAACCCCCACCCCCAACTTTGGGATCACGCCAAACCCTGGATCGCTTGCGGCCCGGAAGGAGTACTTGCGCCCTGAAGACTCACTCCTCTTGCCCGGCACACAAGCAAACAGCATTTATGGTGTACCTTTCCAGAATACCAATTCCACTCTTCAAATCCCAGGGAATTGTTTTGAGGCCGTCTTGAGGCACAGAAAGGTTGGCTTTCGGAAACATGGCTCGCGGGACCTGTTCAGATGGAAGTCGCTCTTGGCTCTCAGGTCTCCGGAGTCTTGCCAAGCGGACTGCAGTGGGAACCAACGATAGGTGTCCTTCTCGAGGAAATAGATGTGTTTCCCTGGTAGCTAAGTAAACCCCTGGGTAAGCCAGGCATCGCCATCTATCTTTCTACCACAACAACCAAAAAGGACACCCATGCGAACGATGTCCCCAGCAAGTGACCACAGCTTTCGCCTGGTTCTCCCCCCCTCCCCGTTGCATCGGAGACACCTCTGCATCTCCCCCAAAGGTGGGTAGCGCCATGTAGGGCGAGCGGCTTCGATGGTGCTAGGGTGCTTTTCTGGTGTTATGTGGCCGTGGTTGTCAAAACCAAGGATCCCATTTTGAGGGATTGGTGAATTCACCACCCATTTTAGAACCTATTTTAATTGTTGGATTGATTTGGATTTGACCCATGGCCATGTTGGGCAGGGCCGGGTTGAAACAAGCAGTCTCCACAAGCGGAGAAAATGGAATGAATAGGCTCCCAGCATCCGTCAAGTGGCACGGAATCTAGCCGAGTAACTCGAATATGGGAGCTTAGAACCAGGGTTGCTTCAACTCTTGCAAGTCATGTAACAAGGCAATATCCTGAAAAATTAGCCAGTGTAGTGGGATGCCCAAAGGGTAGTGAAGCTTGTGCAACTGACCCATGACCAGACTTTCCAAGTTGTACTTGTTGCGCGTATTCAGCAACATGCGCACGCGCGCTTGAGAACTGTGTGCCGACAATCTCGCTTGAAGGCTCTTCCATACCAAAAGCACTAAGCCAAGGATTACCTCTGAAGCGGTCCAGGAAAAAGCAACTATGTTTTTCATGCGCTGGCTGTCTGTGCGTGTTCATTTGACTGGCTCCACTGTCTGTCTCCAGCCAAAGTCGACGGCAGCTTTCAAATTTGGCATTGCCAGACAGCAAAAGAGACGTGAGGCTTCAATGGAACACAACTGCCCCCAAGCTCCGATCCCACTGCTTGAAGCCCAACACTCGTGAAACGGCACATTGACTTGCTTTCTACAAGCGACGCGCATAGAAGAGCTGGCTTACGCTAGAGACGGATTTTGAAGCGATAAAGATCAAATGGCCAACTCTTGCACTTGTTCAAACATGAAGCGGAGCTTGGATCAAGGCTCCTCCGTTTTTTTTCCAGATAATGACGGGGCACGGTTAGATAATGGCTGATCTTGGAGCCCCAAGCAAAATCACCGCTTTTGTGTCCTGCTTCACCTGGGTGACCATTGGAAGACAGAATGATGCTCAAGATCAGCCATGTCATCTCGTGGTCGACGCATTTTGACGACCATCTCACTGGGGCCACGCGTTTGACCGCGGGCCGCCCTTTCAATTCGGCCCGCAGTCCTACCAATGCTCAGTAATAGTCCCCCTTGCCCAGTCCCTTGGCATTCATGGGCCTGGCAACGGAAGGGACGTGGCGGCTCTTTCTCAAAAGACCAAAAAAAAAAAAAAAACGACGACGACGCGCGTGGCTTGTTGCACAAAGGGCCAGGTGAGCTGGCCATGAAACATGTGCGCAAGTTAAGCGAAAGCGAAAAGGTGGCCTTCAAGTACCGAGAACCTAAAAGGATCCACTCGAATCCAGCCGGAAGAAAGGGGCCATTGACAGTCCAAGCCAAGCCACACTCAAGCCTGGGGCCCTTCCTGCGATGTCCTGTCTGATACATGAGAACCACAAAATGACAATGTCCGTCGCATCAATAGAGAGTTGTGTTCAAGGAAAATGAAGGATGCTGACCACAAAAGTCAGCATAAGGACATCCCGCATATAAGAAACCTGGCTTTTGTGTAGTGAGAGGGCAAAGTCCAGCTTTCATAGGTAGTCGGCAATCAATCCCATCTTGCCCCGCGCCTCTCTTCCAGCTCGTCTGGTGTCATCTTGGTGGTCGCCTGGGCGACATTGGGCAACATGTCTCAGGAACATGCAGTGGTCAAACAAGCCAACAACTTCTCCACATGTACTTGCCAATCACCCCTTCCCGGCCCTTCTGCACAGCAACCTGTTCATGTTTCACGCCTGCTCCTATTTACCCCTTGCCCCAATGGCACAGTGTCGCTTCAAACCGCTTCAGGTCCACCAAAACGTAAAACCGAAGCCCAGCCCCAAAGCCCAGCCCCAAAGCCCAGCGGCGTAGCGGGGCCGGTGCTCCCCGTCGAAGTGGACCGCAGGCGCTGCCAGCGCGAAGGGCGGCGGCTTCACCGGCTGCGGGCCCTGCGAGCGGAGTCTCGTCCCTCCGAGCCACCCACCCCCCCCACCCAACCAACCAACCAGCCAAACAGCCAACCAACCAACCAACCGAGGTCGCATGCAGGTCCACCAAAACTTGCTGGTGCTTGAAGTAGGGGACGAGAAATGGGAAGGAACTTTTCAGGGATTCCCGAAGAAAGGAAACCATGGCATGGATGGTATATAGGGGTCACTCCATTTCTCATTCCCAGTTGAGCACCAGCAAGAAAACCAACCACCCAACCAACCAGCCACTCGACCAAAGCTGTGGATTGTCTTAAGGAAACCAAGCTAGAAGTGTAGTGCGACCAAAAGAGACTTCAAGTTTCCCTGCCTCAAGGATCTACGGCAAGCAAATAAATCATGGAGGCTTGGCTGACAGGGGAGCTACGAATGAATTCAATAGACGGGGCTTTCACACACGAATACGGATACCAGTGCTATCCTCTGTTGGCAGTGCGTAAACGAAAACACATGCGAATAGACCTCTGTCAGCCACTTCTCAACATGCGGCGGGACCAAGAGATCACATTGTCAGCTGAAACCTTCATCCAATGGCCTTGCCGTTGCAAGTTGCAGCAAGAAATCGGGCGATGGGAGAAAGCTCCAAGCAAGCGCGCCTTCGCGCCCATGCCACTGAATCACTTGCCATCTCACCGTTTTAGGTGGGATCAGGTAAGCCACGGACGTTGAGTTCAAGATGTTGATGGCTGACCTTTGGCTCTCTGTGGTATCTCTGTGTTGACTGATATACAAAATATGTCGAAAGGAAAACAACCGCTTTGGTGAGAACGTTGTTCTGCGTTGGGGCCGTGACCAAAACTCTGCAGCACGGCAACCATGGCAGTCTGGGCCGCAACCTGAAATGCACCATGCCTTTATGTTGGCCATAGCTAGGAGACAAGGAATCAAGAACGCAGCAGGCCGCGGAGGCGTCCCAGACCGAGCCCTCATGCTTAACCTTGCTCCCAAGTCGTTTTCTAGTAGCCTTGCCTCCACCAACACTTTCCACCAATCAAGCAAACAGTTCAGCTTGAACGCAAAAAGGCCCAATGCTCATGATAAATGCACTTCCCCAAAACGCTCACACGACGCTCACACATGCTCGACTCTTGGCCTGTGATCGTGCCCTTGTGACGAAGATGACCGCATGCAAAGCTCCGTTGCAAAGGGCACATCGGCTCGGCCCAGCCCCGAACCGCGCCTCGATGAGGCCTGCCTTGTACCGCTTGAAGTGCTCCTTCTCCTCTACTATCAGGTCCCGAGCCTGGTGGTTCCTCTCTCTTTCGGCAAACTTGCCCAGCGCCAGCGAACTTCGAGGGCAACATGTTGGAATCACTAGACACCATGATGATAAGCCACGCCGAGGTGGCCTCTGATCACAAAGCAGGCCACAAGTTGCACTCCAAAAAAAACATGTGCCGACACGCCAGACAGCCGATGCGCACAAGACACTAGGATTGCTGGGAACTTGAACTCCGGATTACAACAGGGGTCATATGAATCACATGCGTGGTGAGGAACTGTCATCATCATGCTAGCACTCTCTACCCTCCGTTCTTCTAGGTTCGGCTTGCTGTGGGCCGAACACAAGTGAATGACTAGGAGCTTACTCCTTTGGCTGTCACGGCTGGTCCATACCAACAGCATGGTGCCATCATGGACTTTCAGCCATTCACAGGCTCGCCTGAAGCATGCAGAGCCGCTCGAAACCAGCGACCTGACCTTCCTGCCGCACAACGAACATTTGAGTGCGTGCGTGCGTGCGTGCCAGTTGTGGTCACTTAGGTTTCGGAGACTGGTGGAAACCTGTGCGTCGTCCTCCCACGTCCCATGCCCGCCTCAACCTTGCGCATGGCAGTGAGCACCTTGTTGGAAGCTCGCACCTGGCTAAGTGAGCAGCCCCAGCTGCTTGTTTGACTATGCGGGGAAAAAGAGGCAGTTGCTGTGAGTCAGACTTGCCCGCTGGTTGTTTGGCTGAGAAGGACAAAAGGCAGAAAAGAACATGCGCAAAGCCTTCGTGCAGCAGCCTGGATCAAAAGCGGCCCAGGCCGCAAAGAACTCCTAATCAACCCAGGAAAACAGGCAACAGACTGTCGCAGTGGAGCACAACAGGACCTGCAATCTTGATGGATCAAAGGCCAGGCGTCAGAGGCGACATGAAATGTCCCACGCAAAACCAGCTTGGCGCTTTTGAACCAATGTGATTATCAGTGCATGCTGTTACTTCAAGGTATACCCATATTGTCATCCAGGAGCGAAGCTGTGAAAGCTCCTATGTAAAGGTATGTTGTATGAGACTGGTGCTCAGGTTGCTTGCTGTCAACGTCAATATTCTTGTTAGAATTGCTAAATCAATCGTCCTCACAGCATCTGAACTCATCAAGTCATCTACACACAGCGTCTATCATTCTCTCAGAGCTCACCAGCGGAAAAGCCGGGGATGAACCAAAGGCCATGCCCTCTTGGCTTGTCAGCAGACTCATGGCGGGGGGGAAAAGTTTCTCACACGATGATCGGCATCAACGATTGCCATGGCTGGTCGAGTTTTCTCAGAACGTCGCCAAGCCCGCTAAGGAACATTGATATTGTGGCAAAAAACAAAAACAAAAACAGCTGAAAGGCCCTTGCCTCTGCCAAAATCATGGCGTCGGGGTGCTGCTCAACTGCATGATGTTCGGGAAATTCGATTTGTCTCACACGAAACAGGACCCAACTCCGAGCCACACGTCTGTGATGCTGATGTGACAAAGAAAAAGGACCGCACGCAGGAAAGCTTTCAGGGCCAAGCAAATCGAGCCCCTGTCCCACCAAACTGCGTCTCGCCTTCCGGCTCCTGTCGTCGTACTCGAACCTGGCTCCCAAACAGAACGAGGCCCGGAGAAATGAAAGACGTCCAGGGTCAAGGCGCAAGGATCAAAAAATACGGGTATTTGCGAGGAAAGCATGCTACCAGTGTTGTGTTGTCAGCCGATTGTTGGATGTTGCCAAAACGTACCACTCACGCCGCTTCCTGCGGCAAAAGCTAGAAGCTTGTGGCTGTATCTTTGCAGGATATCGTGGCCCTGAAATTCTTGGTCAACGAGGAGGTGGCTGTAGGCGCTACAGAAGAGACGCAGGGACACATTGTCATCTCAATGTCTGATTCTGGCAGTCGCCACGTGTTCACACATGTCGACTCTTTCAGCTGCTTTGCGCATACCACAAAAAGGGACCATCACGAGCCATTAAGATGTGCATGTGTGAATGTTCATAGACTTAAATGCATGCTGGTGCGCATGCACGTGGTTCTTTTCCTGCAAGAATAGATTATGTCAAAACGAGCAACCCAAAAGCTCCTTCCAACGGAAGCTGATGAAAGGAGAGTCTCACACTTTACGTTGAACGTGTGTATACACAATATGTGGTGGTTGTGCAATTACGCATGTCTACTTCACCATACGCCCACTACCCAACATACACAAATCAATGTATGTGAACTCCTTCCCAGTAAGTTATGGTCCACTCATCGTTAGCCTTGTGCAACTAAGTGTTTTGATCATTCGCTCTGTCAACTGAGCACCGTGCCGTTCGGTACAAAACGCACGCAACTTCTTGCCTGAAGCCAGCAAGCGTGCTGATTAGAAAAACCGCATGGCTGCCTTTCAATCTGATTGATCAAAATTCCTGGCCCAAAAATGACCGTGCTAAACTTGTCCCATCTTTTGTGTGGTTTGTTTGATGATCCCAGCTAAAAGACCTTTTGATCAACCCCCACATGCATTGCACTGCAGAAAGTCACAAGAAACCCTCTACGACAGCTCCGAGCGCGCAGCCCACGCATTTCTCGAAGCCGCTGCCGAAGTAGTGTGCGTGGATGCTGGCCAAACGATCTAGCGGAACGCCTGCGACTTGGCTCACGCAGCCAGGTTTGGTAGGAACTGACTTCGAGGCTATGCCCTTCAAAAAGAAACTAACCACAGTGTCCAACTGCTCAGGCATCGCAAGTGCCACACAAAAAACCGCCAGGTCCGGTGTCTGAAGCCCGCGCCGTCAATCCCTGCAGGGTAGAGCTCCTCAGCTGACGCTCCAAAAGGCTCGGTCGAACCCTGCGCTTCAGCAAAAGAGGGGTGCTTTCCAATGTCTGAACTTATTCTCAAAAGCTGTTGTGAGAACACCTCTAAGCAGTTCAAAAAACATGCTCCTCCCCAGCGCTGCACAGGAATCTCATGACTTCGAACCCACGACACCACGATTCCGCGTCTCCCGCCGTCGGCCGAGTCGAGTCGAGGCCCTGGCCATGGTCTCGAAGAGCTCCACGGTGTTGGCCGCCGCAGCCTCGTTGCCCTCGATGAAGTCCGGGTGCTCCGTGCCCAAAACCTCAGCCGCCGCACCCGCGGCTTGCGATCCGGAGCGAGTTCGTCATAGCCCTGCCCCGTGGCAAGCAACCGAGTTCGTCATTGCAGTCAGGCAGAGGTGGTCAATGTCTAAGTGCGACTGAAGCGCTAACCAAGCATAGCAGGAGAAGGCGTTACTTCAAAACTGTCAGACACCTGTGAATGATGCCTGTCCTCCAAGCAACAGCCTCCGGAAATTCGAGCTAAAAGTGGCCGCAAGGTAAGGCTCAAGGCCCGCATCTTAGTGAAAGAAACACCCCAGTCAAAGGCCATAAATTGGTGAGCGGAGGTCACGGTGTTTCCATAACACCAACAAATCACAGTAAATATTCACAGTGGATCTTGGGCGCTGTACCTTCGCTTCCCGGCTTGGTACCGCAATACGTACCAACAATATGAAAAAGAATGGATTTTATCAGCATTCTGCAGATTCCCCTATTGAGAAGCCATCCCCAAACCCCTCACAAAACCATTCGTAAACCAGCAGCAGCACCCTCCTTGCACATCTCTGTAGCTGAGAAGCCGTGGCGTTGGCTGTTGTGCAGTCCTGGCGATGCAGTCTGCTCGTTGCCCCTCGGACTGCTTGTGCTCGAGCTGCGATTGATCAAACTAAACTGTGTGAAAAACCTACAACAACAAAATCATCATGAATAAGTCGCAAGAGGAACCAGACCAAGCGCTGTTTGCCATGGGTATAAGAACAGCAACAGTAGAAAGCTGGTCTCCAATGAGCGAAAGCCACTGGGGCTTTGAGGTGAGTAACACACCTGTCACTGAACCATCAACTCTGTCCAAATCGCTATTGGCACCCGCCATACTTGACCCAAGACATGTTTACTCGGTCCCCCAACTTTGGAAGGCATCGCATGCTCCTACCAACCCATAAGGCAGAAGCGTCAAGTCATCCGGGGCCTTTTACTGCGCAAAGCAGCTCCTCATTTAGGGCATTGCCAGAATCCGGCCCCGGTCTTGTCCTTCGGCAAAGCCTTGAAACCAATCCAAAGCATCCGGGCCACAGCAAACCCAATACAAAGGCCCCTTCCTTGATGCGAAAGTTCTGCCACACGAGCTGGTGTCTGCGCTCGCCATCATCCTCAGGCCGTTCCCAACTTGCCCCTCACAAGCAAGGCAACAAAGCACGTGGGACTTGTAGCTCCGGGGTGGGTTTTGTTGGTTCAATAGGGCAAGCTAGCGATAAAAATGTCAAGTCGTCTAACGGCAAAGTTCACCCAAGCGGCCTTTGCTGCCTTCATGCAACCAAACCTCGTCAGACTGCACTTGGAAAGCCACGTGAGCTGCCACGTTGGTGAAATACAAGAAACGGCATCGCTTTGCTTATGGTTCAAAATACATCCTGCGACGCATCGGCATCAACAGGGAACCTCTGGATGTTCAGCTTAGTGGACCCTAGCTGAAAGCCCAAAACAACCAGCATCATGGACAACAAAAAACATCAGTTAGTCACACACGAATTGAAACCGAAACTTGCAAACACGAACCGTCCTTCCTTGCCATTCAGGCATGACAACACCGACACACAAATGTTATTCTTTTCCAAAACAAATGAAAGAGTTCCAAGTGTCAAATTCGGCCAAAAGAGATCTTTTCAACATCTGGGTCCACTGTGACCTCTCATTTGCGTGCATTGTGCCGTTGTGTCTCGTGCTTATCACACAGCTCCGCAAATTTTGGTCTCTGGCTCCAATTCCCCTCCCTCGTTTTTTGCAGCCCTTCAACTGCCAGTGTTTTTCCCTAGATGCTGGTGGTTTCTTTTTGTCGTGGTCATTCCACTGGCCACCGGCTACCTCCCGCCCTATGGCCCCGGGCAGTGCCACTGTCGCCCGCCAGGCGCGTTAAGGGCACCAGCCGCTCCCCGGCCAGCTCCCGCCGCAGTGAGGCGATCTCCTGCTTCTTGTTCCTGGAGCGCCCCGAAAAATTCCCGCAAACCGCGCCCAACCCGGAACCCGCGCAAAAGGATGGAGCAAGAACCGAAGGGCAATCGAAAGGCGAAAGGCAGAAATGAGACTTCACAGATCCGCAAAGCCAAAACCAAGAGCCGGAACGCGCTTCCGAGCAAAAGAGCAAAAACTGGACTGGGTGTCTGGCATTGCGGGTGCTGGTGCATGCAAACCGGAAAACAGGACTCGGAAACCACAACGGCAAAAACAATAACGCCAACATGTGTCGAGAATAATGCTAAACATCTTGCCCAGAACACCTCCCTGGCCATCGATTCTCTCGCCATTGGAAGTTGGCGAAGTGGCCAAGTGGCTTTCAATATGCCATATCTTCTTTCTAAAGCACAGCGTGACAACCGATTTTGAGTCGTGTTTTTGTGGCTAGCATTGTCTGAAGCTCTTCAGCTGCAATGGGACGGTTAGCGATCTGGGCACCCATGGTGGCTCAAGAAGCAACAAGAATCACGATCAACTGTTGCGAACTGGATGTCTAAAATTAGCAACAAGAATTAGATTAGTCTACAAGCAAGTTGTTACACCGTTACTATTCAGTTTATGTCTAAAATTTGCTTGGCAAGAAGGATGCAGCATGATGCATGAGTATTCGGATTGCTTGAACCCATCACCAACGTGGTGACCCGAGCTGCTTTGCCCCTTGCTCTCTTCCGCCAATGTCGTCAAAGGTAGAGGCTCATGGTGGCAAACTTTGGGCCCCCATTTCCATTGGCATGGACGGCTTAAGAGCTGCCTTGGCAGTTTTCTCCTCTGCTTCTCATTTCTCACAGGGCTTGAAACCAACCTGGCGCCTGACTTGCATCAGTCAACATTTAAAAAAAAAAAATGGCCCGAGCACATGCCTGCGCCTCTGATGTAGATGTCAAAACAGTCCTTGCCCTACAGCCACGTCCATGCCAAAACCTTTGATTTCGGGGAACGGACTGCTTTCATCGCTCCTTGCCATGGCTATGGCAAATGTCAACCTCTCTCTCCCTCTCGAGCCGGAACAAAAAAGCGGTGTAAGGCCCATGTAGGCAGCGAAACAGGTTTCCAGCATGCTTCACAGGCTCTTGAAACTCTTGGGTTTACACTTTGCACCCAACAATGCGCCATGTTCTGATCAAATCAAGCAGAAACGAATGTTGCTTAGCTCCAGATGTGAACTTGCCATTACATTGCAAACTGCTGAACAACCCTCAATCTTCCTCCTACAGTGGAAGAAAGTGCGGCATGATACCAGTGCAATGGTTGCCTGCAGTCCACTCTGTCTGACACTCACAAACCCAACAGCTCTTTCAATCTGCGAATCAGCCACACAAGTCAAATAGCCCTCTTCCTGCATTGCGCAAATCAGCCTTTTTTCGCGCGCAAGTTCGTGCCTGGCAACATTCATTCCACGCACATCTGCCAGCGTTGGCTGACCAAGACTGAGCAAGGGCGGGATGCATTACAGTACTCGTTCGTTGCGCCCTTGTTCCACTCCAAAGGTTAAATTTGGCCCTGGCGTTTGCAAAGGTTTCGGGGTTGCTTTTGAAAGGGCAAAACACCTGTATGCTTTGAGAATTCAAACCACATATTGCTACACCCTTGCGGATGCCACTGCACCGAATAACAATCCCTGTCAATGTGCGTGCGAACAACATCTATTGCTTTCTGCTGTTTCTGTCTCCGATGAGCCCACCTGCTTCAAACAAGCGTTCATTATCTGCAAGCAATCAAGCACAGAAATAAAGGATCGATTGCGGTGCAAAACATGGACCACGACTACTTGAAGATCTTGCCCAAAACCAACAAGAAAGAAAGACAGAAAGAATCAAAGGAAGAACGAAGGAAATAAATAACAGAAAAAAGAAAAAAGAACATAAATAAACAAGAAAAGGTAAATAGGTAAATATGTACATAAATAACAAGTACATAAACAAATAAATGACTGAATGACTGAATGACTGAATGACTGAATGACTGAATGACTGAATGACTGAATGACTGAATGACTGAATGACTGAATGACTGAATGACTGAATGAACGAATGAATGAATGAATTTATGAATGGATGGATGGATGAATGGATGAATGGATGAATGGATGAATGGATGCATGGATGAATGGATGAATGGATGAATGGATGAATGGATGAACGGATGAATGGATGAATGGATGCTATTTAAATGAATGAATGAATACATGAATGAATGAATGAATGAAGGAAGGAAGGAAGGAAGGAATGAATGAAATGAATGAATGAATGAACGAACGAACGAACGAACGAACGAATAAATGAATGAAATGAATGAATGAATGCATGAATGAGTGAGTGAGTGAATGAATGAATGAATGAATGAATGAATCAATGAATGAATGAATGAATGAATGAATGAATGAATGAATGAATGAATGAATGAATGAATGAATGAATGAATGAATGAATGAATGAATGAATCAATGAATGAATGAATGAATGAATGAATGAATGAATGAATGAATGAATGAATGAATGAATGAATGAATGAATGAATGAATGAATGAATGAATGAATGAATGAATGAATGAATGAATGAATGAATGAATGAATGAATGAATGAATGAATGAATGAATGAATGAATGAATGAATGAATGAATGAATGAATGAATGAATGAATGAATGAATGAATGAATGAATGAATGAATGAATGAATGAATGAATGAATGAATGAATGAATGAATGAATGAATGAATGAATGAATGAATCGAATGAATGAATGAATGAATGAATGAATGAATGAATGAATGAATGAATGAATGAATGAATGAATGAATGAATGAATGAATGAATGAATGAATGAATGAATGAATGAATGAATGAATGAATGAATGAATGAATGAATGAATGAATGAATGAACGAATGAATGAATGAATGAATGAATGAACGAATGAACGAATGAACGAACGAACGAACGAACGAACGAATGAATGAATGAATGAATGAATGAATGAATGAATGAATGCATGGTTTACACATATATATACACAAATTAATTATTTTTCAAAAAAAGGAATGCATAAAAAAGTAATGAGTAAATAAATAAATAAATACATACATAAATACATAAGCACATAACTACATAAATGAAAGTTTTGAAACAAATAAGCAAGCAAGCAAGCAAGCAAGCAAGCAAGCAAGCAAGCAAGCAGGCAGGCAGGCAGGCAGGCAAGCAGGCAGGCAGGCAGGCAGGCAAGCAAGCAAGAAGGCGACGCGGCAGTCTCAGATTCAGCCTGCTGCCACATCATCTGAATGTCTCCACATCCCGCTTCTCCGCCGCCTCCAGTTGAAGAAGTGGCATCCGTCTGGGTGGCTCCAGCTTTTTCAGAACTTCAGACATGTGCATGCGCAGACCATGAAGCAGTCGGGCAGCCAAGCTGCCAGGCAGTGCAAGGCGGTTGGAAAGGCGCAGTCACCATGCCCTACTGTGCCAAGTCTTTGCCAGGGTTGATGCGCATGCGGGCACGCGCCCTGCGTTCTATCAAGCTCGAGTCTGTAGCCTCCTGTGTTCTGCCGATCCCCATGGCCCCAGCCCATGGACGAGGAGTCGCTCAGCAAGCGCCCAGACCCGGAGCAGGAAGGGAGGACCAGAAGTTTAGGGGCAAGGCAAAGGGGCCGGCAGGGAAAGGGAGAGGCCACAACTCAGAACCGGCCCTGATGGGGTGCCAACAAGGACCGGCAGTTCACAAAGGTGCTCCGCAAGCTTATGCTGCGGACTGCCAGGCTGCAGACGGCAGTCTCCGGAGCGCATGCTGCCCTCGCTTCTCGCAGTCACAGAGAATGGCCGACAACGACTACGTGGGCGTCACCGGCACCTTTCTCGGCACGGCCGCGCAGGGAGTGTGGAGCACGGCGCGCCTGGACTTCGGTGCCCCCGGGCGGAGTCGCAAAGCTGCACTTCGGCGCCTTCGGCGGGTTGATCCCCGGGCTGGTGCAGCAGTCGGCGGGCACTTTTTTTACACTTTTTTGCAACGCGGCACTGTTTGGCCGCTGCATCAAGCCCCGGCCGTAGCGTGAGCCTGACACTGAAATGGTGAGACGAAGGTGGTCGAATAAGACAAGCCACCAGCCGATTGGAAAAGCCCCGCGAGGCAGGAAAAGCCCGTCAACAAGGAGGAACCCAAAAAACCGCAACAGGGGGAACAAAACCACCCCGAAAAGGCGGGACAAACGAGGCGCCACTCCGGCGGAAAATGTCCGATTGTGGACAGATCTCCAGTCAAAAATGGTAAGGATCATCACACATCCCTCAGAAAGGTGCGCAAAGGATACACTCGCTATACAGCAAGGAAGCCATGATAAAAGTACAGCTCAATCTGAGCTATGATGGCCAGCGAATCTGCCACACAAGCGTGCATGAGCAAGAAGAGAGGTTGCACCACACGGATGGCCTATCTGGCCTTCAGTAAAGCACGTCGCATCCTGTCACGCATACCCCTGCGGCTCTGCGAATTCTTGTCCTGATCACTAAAGTCGCGGTCACAATGCAAGTCATAGGGCCCAGGGGGCATGTCAACGACAAAATTGAGATTGGTCGGATATCCCTGCTTCTTCAAGCATGCGTGGGCCAATTCAACTGTCCGCTGTCCCTGTCGCAGGCCTGGTCGGGCAGTGAAACCTTGGCGAGCACGGTAGAACCCCAATACCCGAAGAGATGTGGGTGACACCGAAGACGGTGTCAGATCTACAGGTGTCAAATTATACGTAGTGACGTTCTGCAGGTGCGCCACGGTCATTCTCAAGTGAGAAATCTGCTCTTCCAACGCACGAAATAGCAGGGGCCGCACGACTGCCTCATTGGAGTCAAATGGGACATACTGCTGGATCTGCGTCTTACGACCCTGAACCGTGTCAATTCGGACCGGAAAGCGTTGCCCAGTACACAGATAAAAGTTGAAAAGGAGCTCCAACCAACTGATTCCCCAATCATGGGGGGCTGAGGGACCATCCGGCCATTGTATGGTATGGAGCCACTGCCACACAAGATCAGCAATTCGTCCACCTACGTTACAGCAGACAGCTTGCTGTGGAGTAAGTTCAGTGAAGGGAATGATGCGAGGCGTCGTCGGGAGCCAGGTGCCAAGGTGCCGCAGGGCAACAATCTCACGTGGAATTGGGCGTGGTTCATGCCCAGTACCAAGTTCGGCCTGACCAGGATTCGGATCTGTAGGTTCACTATTGGCCTTCTCATGCGCCTCAATAGCTTCCTTGCGTACCAAGGCCAGTTCAACCAGGAAATTCAAGGCTTGCTGAAGCTGGGCACGTTCTTGGCGTTTATGGGCAGCGATTGTATCAGCAAGGGCAACCACAGCGGGTGTCTCCGTACTGAGTGCTGTATTTGCAAGTCTATCAGCTAAGTGGTTGGCGGTGATGCCCCACCAGTCTAGTGTACTGACAGCCTTGGTGGAGTCACGATGCGCTTTGATCTTATGTACAGCAACGTAACCTGCGGGCCACGAATCCCAGATAGCCAGCGCGAGGTCATGGTTCATACATGGTTCTGGCAGGGCCAAATATCCTCGCGACTTCCAGCAGTGAAGGCGTGTAACTAAGTCAACGGCCGCCTGACAATCCGTGTAAATATTCACAGGCAAGTCGGAGTCCTGCACACGAACAAGTTGCATAGCCGCCCAGACTGCACACAGTTCAGCCCTTAGCGGTGATTGATGTCCGGGGCATAGTCCGCACGCAGCGCACAACAATCCATCGGGGATGGCAGTCCCATTGCCCGGGCTTGTGGCGACACGAAGGCGATCGTCATCACTTGGATACACATCTTGTATCACGCCGCAAGCAGCACGGCTGGCTGCCTGTATATCAGGCATCTGGCAGGTGCCATCAGTGTAGAACGTCCAGCATACCACATCTCTACATGGTGGCGGATCAAGCGGAGGCAACTCTCTGCCTTGAAAGACAGCACGCAGGACGGGTTCCGCTGGACATTGATGAGCCACCGCAAGGTGTGTCCATTCGGGTCTCTG